CCTTGCCTAGTTCATATTAGCATGCTAGTGTAATTAGCCACATAGCATGCTAAAAGGAATGCTAACGTTCTAACTTATGCTTGCCTATGTATGGGTGTATAATGTTTATAATGTTATGTTAGCTTACACTGTTGATAACTTATTAGCCTTCTAGCTATATTAGTTTATCCCTTTCCTTAAAGCTCTGGTTCCACCTTACCGGATGGTGCTCTCCTTTCACAGAGGTTTAAAGCAGTGTTCTCAAAGGAAAAATGTCCCCAGAAGTGTATTGTGACAAACAAATTTAAACACTTCAAAGTCATTTGTTATCTGGATTATAATGGCCTGCAATAACTATTATTGCAATGTTATTTAGATATATGCTATTAAAAATGGTTATATCAAGTAAAAAACTTGACGTGAGAAATTCATAGACATTAAAATTATGTTTGATATGAGGAGTATAAAGACTACTGGGTTTCGCTTTACGAAAAAATAGCGTGGTTTTGTGTTTGAAGTTGTATTGCGCAAAAGATGCGACTCCGGTGGGACTCGAACCCACAACCTTTGAATCACTCCTCAAGTGCTTGACTAGAAGTCCAATGCGCTATCCATTGCGCCACGGAGCCACCTGTTGATAGGCTTCGCACTAGCCCTTATAACGTTGCGGCGTCCCGAAAAACCTTGTGTTGAAACAACGCATTTGGCCTAGCTTTTGTGTGTACACTAGCTACTAACGACGTCACAATGGTCGCGTCATATGTGAAGGAAGACGAGTGTAGATGTCGAGTACATTGTAAGTGAATAAAGTATAATCTACATTAGCCTTGATAACATTGCTGTAGTATGCATTGAGTAACAAATTACATTTGCTGGTGGCTGCTGGCCGAGATCTGAAACAGCTTTAGTTTAGTGTTTGCTTGCCACGGACGCGTTGTGCAGTGAATGGAACAGAAAGGGACTGCTCTTTCGCATTGTCAATAGAGCAAGAATCACATGTTGTTTCATGAAACAAGCGAATAATGGTGCTAGCTGACATTGTAGCTATATGAGCAGCCCCTTGCAACAGTGAGTCGATTACATTTCTGGTTGCGACAACCAATCATATCGCCGTCTGCAACCAAGAAGTAACCAAGATTTGCACTCACCAACCAATCCAAGACGCCAGTGCAACCAAGAGGTAACCAAGAATTGACCAATGAGAACAGAGCTATAGAATTGTCCGGGACTAGAGGAGGAGCGACTAGAAGAGGAGCGTCTCTCCTCTCCGTTTCTATCATGAACATTTCATTCAACAGTAAAGTTTAAGACTTTCGTGGCTTATATTATCTTTTTCTGAAATCAGAAGTTTTGTTGTCTGCTGTTAAGATCAGTGCATTAGGCTACATCACGTTTGTACAGTTGGCTAACAACTTATTGTAGCTAGCTACAGTACTTACAGTAACAGTAGCTAGCTGTGTTTTGACAGGTTGTGAAAATAGTTTGTCCACATCATCATCAAAATAGTAGAATGTCAGCCCCAATATTTCCATACTTGGCTGATATCATAAAGTGTGATTTCATAGTAGGCCTATGTTGATTTGTCACATACCATGAAATGCTTACTTACAAGCCCTTAACCAAAAATGCAGTTTTAAGAAAGAGTTAAGAAAATATTTGCTAAATAAACTGAAGTAAAAAATAAAATAATGAAAAAATAAAAGTAACACAAAATAACAATAATGAGGCTATATACAGGGGTACCGGTACCGAGTCAATGTGTGGGGTACAGGTTAGTCGAGGTAATTTGTACATGTAGGTCACACCCAGCTAGCTAACGTTAGATACTTTGAAATTACTTAACAAACGTTTCTGTGGCTAGCTAGCAAGCTGTTGATATTGAATAAACATGCACTTGCTTTTGTGTGTGTGTGTTCTAATGTGCTGAGCAAGCTAAGATGTTAGGTAAAGGTTAGACGCCATTCATTTAATGTTCCATCTATACATCCAATCTGCTCACTGTTTAAAATTTTACATCTTATACTCATGATTACAAACTCCCCCCTTATTTCCATAGCAGACATGGTGCAGCCCATCTTCAAAAAGTTGTCAGATGGGAGCCTTGTCCTTTAAGACACCAGCTTCTACAGATGCACCATTGAGAGCATCCTGTCTGGCTGCATCAACGCCTGTAAAGGCAGCTGCACGGTCCCCCAGAAGATCTCCAAGGACTTAAGCCACGGCCTGTTCTCTCTGCTTCTATCGGGCAGACTGTAACGGAGCATCCACCACCAGGCCATAAGACTGTTGAAAAGCCCCAACCTGGGCTCAAATCAGGGACCCTCTGAACACATTGACAAGTTGTAACCCACAAAGCATCTTTACCTATCACTCCACAAAAGCCGCAGCCCTTGCACGCACGCACACTCACTCACTAATTCCCATAACTGCTGCTATTATTTATTACAATTTATTTGTACTGCTCACTTTATCTACTTGTTGACATAGCACTTTTAATAGAGACCGTTACTGCTAGTTTTACTCCTACTTTTGTACCTTTTAATATTTGTTTACCACTTGCCTTGTGTTTTTGGTGTTTCTTTTATTTGTGATGTTTTTAAATTTCACTGCACTGTTGAGAGGTAGCCCAATAATGGACTAAAGGAGCCTAACGTTACTCCGTATAGTCCAAGGACTTTACATGTTCTGTTTAGTGGTGAATTGCCTCTTGAAGCCAAAAGAGCCGAATACTTACTGTACACTTACCGTATTTTTTAGTGACAACATGTTTGTTGTCTTCTGTTTACACACAGGTGTTAGGACACGCAGATAGATTTTTAGCACAGGTAGTCTTCCGTCTGTTTTCCATAAACACACTCTGTAACATGGAGATATGGTGGTGTGGGAACACAAACCATATAAAGGTGAGTATCATTTTTATAGGGTTTTAACCTTTTTTTTGTGGAAATTATTTCTCGCTGATATGAAAGATAAGTTTATGCTTCCAAAACCGCACAGCAAGCGATGCGTGTTAATGTTCAGTCCGAGCATCGGGGCTCTTAACCAAACTCCCCCGTACAGAAGACGCCTTCGTCCAATGACTCTTATGTGTAATGAAGTGGAACTGAGAGTCATGATGATCAACGGCTCAGCAGAAGCAAAGAGTTGGAATACAAACTAAATATACTGTGAGCTCCAAAAGTATTGGGATAGTGAAATGTTTTGTTGTTGTTTTGGCTCTGTACTCCAACAGACTGTCAGCTTTAATTTGAGGGTATTTTCATCCATATCGGGTGAAGCGTTTAGAAATTCCAGCACGTTTTGTAGATAGTCCCCCCCCCCCATTTCAGGGGAGCAAAAGTATTTGGACAAATTCTCTTATATGTATTAAAGTTGTCAAAAGTTTAGTATTTGGTCCCATATTCCTAGCACGCAATGATCACATCAAGCTTGTGACTCTACAAATGTGTTGGATGCATTTGCTGTTTGTTTTGGTTGTGTTTCAGATTATTTTCCGAGGATGATCGGAAGAAGCCCGATGCTTTTCTACTCTCAACACCAAAGACGTTGTAATTGTTCTGTGTTTTCACCGTAAGGAATAGAAAGCATAAAAAAAAAACAATTCAAAGCTAAATACAGCAGACATGTCAGGATTCGATACAGGGTCGGTGTCGGCGAGTATGTTCATTTTTTGGTAGAAAAGGATCCCCGAATTCGCAACACTTGTTAATTCCTGGTGGCACTACCTCGACAATTGAGCGATAGCCTCAGCTGGCCATGAAACGAGCTTGGAAGAGCGTCTTAAATATTTGTTAAAATACCATACGTGTCCCATAGCACTAAGAGCCCGGATAGCTCAGTCGGTAGAGCATCAGACTTTTAATCTGAGGGTCCAGGGTTCAAGTCCCTGTTCGGGCGATGCTTTTTTATTTTTTTCTGCTAAATGTTGCTAGGCCATAAAATTCGTTTAATTAGCTAGCTAGGTGGCTAAACGATAATTTTACACTCACATGCACATTGATGACCCCGCCTGAATTACATCCTTGTGTTTACACTAATACGTCGTATTCGGAAGGTCCGTTTTTGTATTTATTAGTTTGAAAGACCTCCACGTTGTAATTATGTAATAGAGTCTATAAGAAATACAGAATAGGAGTCTACTTTGACTGGAATATCACTTTCGGGGCAGTCTGGTGAACTTTTCTAGATGTGGGGCTCATTTGTTAAATAAAATAAAAATAAATAAAATGTGGCCATTTCCCAAACATGCCGCTAGGAGGAGACATTGACCATGTACTGTTTGTCTTTATGGGCTAACATAGGCCCCTTTTCAGCACACGACACACAGACGCGCGCGACTTCTGCCTGCATAAAGAAAGCCATCGCCATCTGCGCCCATTCAACATAGCCTAGATTTTCGTTATTACTTCTAAACAAAATTACTTTCTTGGGTTCTCATAGGCTTACAATGTTGTTTTGATGATTGTTTTAACAGTCTCTAAGGTTATATTTTGGATGCAGCAGTTGTTAGCTAGAATGATACCGTGCATTTACATAGGCTGTAGCAAAAGTTAGCCAAAGAGACATTTTACTGGTTGAAGTGTTTAAGTATAATGCAGTTGATTTGCAATGATGACACACATATTAAATCCAATTACAATCCACTCATAGGCAACATGTAAATGCCACCAACTTGCACTCGTTGCCCTAGTGCAGCAATGTTTGCAAACACAGAAAGGGGTCTATGGGTATCATATTTCCAGCTTCTCTGATGCAACAGTATGACTATTTATGGGAATCCTGCAACACAATCTCATCGAGCATGTGTAAGTGACAGGCAAGGTTATTGAATGATAAATGAATGATTCTAACAATATAATATATGCAATTCAGCATATCCTTCTATTCAAAGCTATTTATAGTAGAGTGAGTGCATACACTTTCATGTGCCCTTTGCAGGAACCCTGGCGTTGGTAGCGCCACCTTGTTGGTTGCAAGTGTTTAACAAATGAGATGAAGAGTGAACAATCCAGCACAAACAATTGTATACAATAGAAATACTTTTAATTTGATGTTTTATCACAGGCATCAACGTTAACAAGATAATAAAAAAAGCAGATTTTATTTTCTCTCCGTTCATAGCTCTCTCGCTCACTCACACACGCATACACACCTAATGGACACAAAGAAAAAACTGACAAGAGATTCTGCTGGATTAAAATCATTATCAACCCTAGTAGACATCCTACTCTCTTCTGTGCACACACGTACAAGAGTGCACGCACACACACACAAAGACATACGCTTCAACTGGGGTTTCCTTGATGTCACTTCTACCTGGACAATGCAGAGATCCTGAGAAAGAGAGAAGGGCGGAGGGGTTATTGTGAGAAAGTAGATAGGGGAGTGTGTGTCCTAATTCCAATTCCTCCCATTCTACATTTCACATTTTAGTAATTTCGCAGACGCTCTTATTCCGAGCGATTTAACTTGCTCAATGGCACAGACAGATTTTTCACCCAGTCGGCTTAGGAATTCGAAGCAGGTACCTTTAGGTTACTGGCCCAACGCTCTTAACCGCTAGGCTAACTGCCGCCCTCAGTCTCCCTGAAGTGACCACAGAGTGGAAATTCCACCTCTGACTGGGACGTGAACTCACAACCCTCAGCACCTTAACACAATGTACTGAAGAAGCGCCAAGGCATTGTGCATGTGAACTTGTTTACCCCACATGCTTTTCAAATAATTAAAAAGGGGAGTGAGGAAGAGCACACTTCAGGGAGAATTGAAATTGGGCTAAGGATGCGTGAGACTACTCACTGTAACTTCTCCTGCAGCAGCTCCAGCCTCTGTCGGTCTACGTAGCGCGAGAAGAGAGAGAGCAGGTTGGGAGGGGTGAAGAGAGGAGGGGACAGGGACGAGGGGGGCACGTTGAGCAGCTCCCTGGTCACAGAGAACACCAACTCCGTCCTGGGAGAGAGAAGAGAGGGAGGGAAAGAAAAAGCAAAAGGACACAGACAAGGTGGAGAGAGAATTAGTACCCAATAAACAAACCTTTGTGTTTTCAACATCAAAAAGAGATGTATAGGTTTCTAGTTGCTGTGTGTGTTTCCAAAACCTGCCGCTAGGTGGAGACATCGACCATGCATCGTTAGCTATTACTGGCACCTTATTTTTAGCTTTTCTGACAGAACAATACTAGCCAATATTGATAAATGTAAAATCTAACAGTCATTCTAAATTTAGCCAATCACAAAACACACACACCGGTTTCTGACTAGTAAAAGGAGGGCTGTGCTCACCATCGATTGTCATCCATGAGTTGACAGTTGGGGTCGGAGCTCTGCATTCTCTCTCCTTCACTCAGGATCAGGTAAAGCAGCGTCACACCAAACTGGGAGGATGGAGAGAGAGGAGAAAAGGAGAGATGGAGTCAGTAAAAGTGAGTGCACTGACTTCATAACATCAATGCCATCATGGCCTTATTTATAGTAATTGAACCTTAACCATTATCACTGCTGGACAGAGAAAGGTAAGGTGCACTATTTTGCATCATTCTAACAACAGGCAGGTTGTATAGTGGGTCAGTGCATGTACCTTATTTTGCAACACTTTGGACAGTTGACCCTCGCTGCCTTGCAGCTCCTGCAGCAAGTCTGTGAGGACGGCGCTAGATAGGGATGAGATCACCACGGCAACGGGCTCCACCAACCAGCACAGCACCTGGGGGAGGGGAGAAGCAATTATAGACCACTTACGTATGTAAGTCTATAATTATGTAGGTGAGTCTGTATGTATGTGTGTGTGTGCGCGTCTCTGTGTGGCCTTGAGCATCTCATTGAGAACATTATGCTTTGCAATAAAGACCCGACGCTAACCGTGCCTCTATCTATACCTGGTCCTGTTTGTCTTTCTTTGCCAGGGCGGGCAGGTTCCGGGCAATCCCCATGACAACGGTGGCGGCCTGCAGCGGAGGCAGGAAAGGGATGAGCCTGGAGATGAGGCGCTTTCCCTTCCGCACCGACATGATCAACAGACACTGCTCGTCACTCACTCTGCAGGATGGGGGGACAGATGGAGGAGAAGAGGAGAGTGAGTGTGGTGAATATTAGTGATGGGGGAAGCAAAGCTTTTCGGGACAACTAGGGTTTCTGCCAAATAGTTGACTACTTGAAACTTTTAACAGTGAACATTGGTGACTGCTGGTTCGTAGAGCTGCAGGGTTTGGGGGTCATGTTCTCACCCCCTCCTCTCCTCCCTCCCCCTAATTCCAAATCGTTCCCTAGCCTCTTCACCCTAGGCACTCATGTAGATCTGAAAGGATTGGATCGGTATAAGCAATAGACATTTCTTACACCTATCATAACCCTTCAGATCTACACAAGTGTCTAGGGAGGAGGAACTAGGGGTCGATTTAGAATTCAGGGACCCACGTTCCCCTCCTCTCCCTCCCTCCATCTCCTTCCTCACCCAGGCTACGACGTTAACGATGGCCCGCTGCCCCGGGGCCAGTAAAAATGTGTCGGGCCAGTGGATCTCGTCAGTCACTGGCACGTTGGGCCAGTAACTTCTCAGCGCATTTTTGCGTTCCAGTTCAACATTTACCTGCTCTGTCGCAGTCTACCATTGAAAACTACACGCAAAATAATTGGCCGTTCATTCAAGGACCACCACACTCCCGCAAGTCACAACCGCTCAAGCAGAATATGAGTTGATACCTTCACACAGCACACGCAAGCTGACCAGAGCAAAAATACGCGTATTTATTTTAAGGGAAGTGATATGCAAAAGTAAACCTTCAATAGTGAACCTACTGCTGGCTACTGTTGATAGACTGCTAAAAGAAAGCTACAAAAAGACGCCTAGCATTCATCTTGACTAGCCTACTGGAGCCAGATCAATATCTATTTTCTGGAACTCAATAGTCTTAAAAGGGCAGCGTCCTATTTTGAGATGTAAAAAAAATAATAATCTCAAAATGACTTTAGAAACAACAATTATTGCAACTAATACAATGTAATGATTTACATTGCCTAAATTATATTACACAGCTTTTTCACACCATAATAACAATATTACAAGATGCATATAGTGAGAAAGCATGCCAACCTATAGGCCCTGCATGACCTTAATGCATTTTAACTACCCCATGTCCGGGCCAGTAGAAATTCTGTTCAAGCCAGTAGGTTTTTGGCCAAATGGCCCGACCGGGACAGTGACAAAAAAAGTGAATGTTGGACCCTGCTCACCTGTCGTCCCACTCCTTCTCCTTGAGGGAGCTGTAGAGCTGCAGGGTGTGGGTTTTGTGCCGCTCCAGCAGGGCCTCTCTTTGCTCCTCCGGCGTCTGCATGAAGCGCTTCTCAAAGTCCTGCACCTCCAGCAGCAGACTGTACATCTGATGGCGAAAGAGAGAGGGGGGAGGGAGATAGTGTTAGGGTCCCCAGAGTGCCAAGCTCTCAAGAGTGCTACAAGAGTGTTTTAGGGGGATCCGTGGTAACATCAATAATAGTGCGGAGCTTCATAGAGAATATTATGAGTAGGTAGCAGTAACTAGTTACATATGTAAAATATATATACAGTGGGGGAAAAAAGTATTTAGTCAGCCACCAATTGTGCAAGTTGTCCCACATAAAAAGATGAGAGGCCTGTAATTTTCATCATAGGTACACGTCAACTATGACAGACAAAATGAGATTTTTTTCTCTCCAGAAAATCACATTGTAGGATTTTTAATGAATTTATTTGCAAATTATGGTGGAAAATAAGTATTTGGTCAATAACAAAAGTTTCTCAATACTTTGTTATATACCCTTTGTTGGCAATGACACAGGTCAAACGTTTTCTGTAAGTCTTCACAAGGTTTTCACACACTGTTGCTGGTATTTTGGCCCATTCCTCCATGCAGATCTCCTCTAGAGCAGTGATGTTTTGGGGCTGTCGCTGGGCAACACGGACTTTCAACTCCCTCCAAAGATTTTCTATGGGGTTGAGATCTGGAGACTGGCTAGGCCACTCCAGGACCTTGAAATGCTTCTTACGAAGCCACTCCTTCGTTGCCCGGGCGGTGTGTTTGGGATCATTGTCATGCTGAAAGACCCAGCCACGTTTCATCTTCAATGCCCTTGCTGATGGAAGGAGGTTTTCACTCAAAATCTCACGATACATGGCCCCATTCATTCTTTCCTTTACACGGATCAGTCGTCCTGGTCCCTTTGCAGAAAAACAGCCCCAAAGCATGATGTTTCCACCCCCATGCTTCACAGTAGGTATGGTGTTCTTTGGATGCAACTCAGCATTCTTTGTCCTCCAAACACGACGAGTTGAGTTTTTACCAAAAAGTTCTATTTTGGTTTCATCTGACCATATGACATTCTCCCAATCCTCTTCTGGATCATCCAAATGCACTCTAGCAAACTTCAGACGGGCCTGGACATGTACTGGCTTAAGCAGGGGGACACATCTTGCACTGCAGGATTTGAGTCCCTGGCGGCGTAGTGTGTTACTGATGGTAGGCTTTGTTACTTTGGTCCCAGCTCTCTGCTGGTCATTCACTAGGTCCCCCCGTGTGGTTCTGGGATTTTTGCTCACTGTTCTTGTGATCATTTTGACCCCACGGGGTGAGATCTTGCGTGGAGCCCCAGATCGAGGGAGATTATCAGTGGTCTTGTATGTCTTCCATTTCCTAATAATTGCTCCCACAGTTGATTTTTTCAAACCAAGCTGCTTACCTATTGCAGATTCAGTCTTCCCAGCCTGGTGCAGGTCTACAATGTTGTTTCTGGTGTCCTTTGACAGCTCTTTGGTCTTGGCCATAGTGGAGTTTGGAGTGTGACTGTTTGAGGTTGTGGACAGGTGTCTTTTATACTGATAACAAGTTCAAACAGGTGCCATTAATACAGGTAACGAGTGGAGGACAGAGGAGCCTCTTAAAGAAGAAGTTACAGGTCTGTGAGAGCCAGAAATCTTGCTTGTTTGTAGGTGACCAAAAACTTATTTTCCACCATAATTTGCAAATAAATTCATTAAAAATCCTACAATGAGATTTTCTGGATTTTTCCCCCTCAATTTGTCTGTCATAGTTGACGTGTACCTATGATGAAAATTACAGGCCTCTCATCTTTTTAAGTGGGAGAACCTCCACAATTGGTGGCTGACTAAATACCCCCCCCCCCCCCCCCCCCCCCCCCCCCCGTATATATATATATATAATACATTAATAAAGATAGTTGCACACTATATATGCTCCCAATAATTGTATAGGCATCACCAACATTTAGGCACATAGAACCTTCTTGTGTAGCTAGCTAGCAGTTACTAACACAAGATGGTTACAAAGAGATAATGGAGTGTATACAGACATAATCAATGTTGGAGTGAGAGCACTGCAGAGTTCAAAACAGGCAGAGGACGTTCAAATCAAGGTAACATATAATCAACACAAACAATACAACCACAGAGCTGTAGAGACAACGAGTAAACCTCCCCTTCCTTCACTTTACCTTCTCCACAGTGTAGAGGATCTGCCGTCTCTTATTCCACACCTGTTTCTCTCTCTTCTCCTGCGTGGGACAGAGGGAGCGGTTAGAGGTGTAGAATAATGTACTACCGCAGTGTTTCCCAACAGGGGGTACGTGGGACTTTTTTTTTTAAAAACGTGCAAAAAATATACACTGCTCAAAAAATAAAGGGAACACTAAAATAACACATCCTAGATCTGAATGAATGAAATAATCTCATCTTCTTTACATAGTTGAATGTGCTGACAACAAAATCACACAAAAATTATCAATGGAAATCAAATTTATCAACCCATGGAGGTCTGGATTTGGAGTCACCCTCAAAATTTAAGTTGAAAACCACACTACAGGCTGATCCAACTTTGATGTAATGTCCTTAAAACAAGTCAAAATGAGGCTCAGTAGTGTGTGTGGCCTCCACGTGCCTGTATGACCTCCCTACAACGCCTGGGCATGCTCCTGATGAGGTGGCGGATGGTCTCCTGAGGGATCTCCTCCCAGACCTGGACTAAAGCATCCACCAACTCCTGGACAGTCTGTGGTGCAATGTGGCATTGGTGGATGGAGCGAGACATGATGTCCCAGATGTGCTCAATTGGATTCAGGTCTGGGGAACGGGCGGGCCAGTCCATAGAATCAATGCCTTCCTCTTGCAGGAACTGCTGACACACTCCAGCCACATGAGGTCTAGCATTGTCTTGCATTAGGAGGAACCCAGGGCCAACCACACCAGCATATGGTCTCACAAGGGGTCTGAGGATCTCATCTCGGTACCTAATGGCAGTCAGGCTACCTCTGGCGAGCACATGGAGGGCTGTGCGGCCCCCCAAAGAAATGCCACCCCACGACTGACCCACCGCCAAACCGGTCATGCTGGAGGATGTTGCAGGCAGCAGAACGTTCTCCACGGCGTCTCCAGACTCTGTCACGTCTGTCACGTGCTCAGTGTGAACCTGCTTTCATCTGTGAAGAGCACAGGGCGCCAGTGGCGAATTTGCCAATCTTGGTGTTCTCTGGCAAATGCCAAACGTCCTGCACGGTGTTGGGCTGTAAGCACATCCCCCACCTGTGGACGTCGGGCCCTCATACCACCCTCATGGAGTCTGTTTCTGACCGTTTGAGCAGACACATGCACATTTGTGGCCTGCTGGAGGTCATTTTGCAGGGCTCTGGCAGTGCTCCTCCTGCTCCTCCTTGCACAAAGGCGGAGGTAGCAGTCCTGCTGCTGGGTTGTTGCCCTCCTACGGCCTCCTCCACGTCTCCTGATGTACTGGCCTGTCTCCTGGTAGCGCCTCCATGCTCTGGACACTACGCTGACAGACACAGCAAACCTTCTTGCCACAGCTCGCATTGATGTGCCATCATGGATGAGCTGCACTACCTGAGCCACTTGTGTGGGTTGTACACTCCGTCTCATGCTACCACTAGAGTGGGCGGCAGGTAGCTTAGTGGTTAAGAGCGTTGTGCCAGTAACCGAAAGGTCGCTGGTTCTAATCCCCGAGCCGACTAGGTGAAAAATCTGTCGATGTGCCCTTGAGCAAGGCACTTAACCCTAATTGCTCCTGTAAGTCACTCTGGATAAGAGCGTCTGCTAAATTACTAAAATAAAAACTAAAATAAAAAAGCACTGCCAGCATTCAAAAGTGACCAAAACATCAGCCAGGAAGCATAGGAACTGAGAAGTGGTCTGTGGTCACCACCTGCAAAACCAGTCCTTTATTGGGGGTGTCTTGCTAATTGCCTATAATTTCCACCTGTTGTCTATTCCATTTGCACAGCAGCATGTGAAATTTATGTCAATCAGTGTTGGCTTCCTAAGTGGACAGTTTGATTTCACAGAAGTGTGATTGACTTGGAGTTACATTGTGTTGTTTAAGTGTTCCCTTTATTTTTTTGAGCAGTGTATATAAACTCAGCAAAAAAAGGGCCGTCCCTTTTTCAGGACCCTGTCTTTCAAAGATAATTTGTAAAAATCCAAATAACTTCACAGATCTTCATTGTAAAGGGTTTAAACACTGTTTCCCATGCTTGTTCAATGAACCATAAACAATTAATGAACATGCACCTGTGGAACGGTCGTTAAGACACTAACAGCTTACAGACGGTCGGCAATTAAGGTCACAGTTATGAAAACTTAGGACACTAAAGAGGCCTTTCTACTGACTCTGAAAAACACCAAAAGAAAGATGCCCAGGGTCCCTGCTCATCTGCGTGAACGTGCCTTAGGCATGCTGCAAGGAGGCATGAGGACTGCAGATGTGGCCAGGGCAATAAATTGCAATGTCCGTACTGTGAGACGCCTAAGACAGCGCTACAGGGAGACAGGATGGACAGCTGATCGCCCTCGCAGTGGCAGACCACGTGTAACAACACCTGCACAGGATCGGTACATCCGAACATCACACCTGCGGGACAGGTACAGGATGGCAACAACAACCAGGAACGCACAATCCCTCCATCAGTGCTCAGACTGTCCGCAATAGGCTGAGAGAGTCTGGACTGAGGGCTTGTAGGCCTGTTGTAAGGCAGGTCCTCACCAGACATCACCAGCAACAACGTTGCCTATGGGCACAAACCCACCGTCGCTGGACCAGACACGACTGGCAAAAAGTGCTCTTCACTGACGAGTCGCGGTTTTGTCTCACCAGGGGTGATGGTCGGATTCGCGTTTATCGTCAAAGGAATGAGCGTTACACCGAGGCCTGTACTCTGGAGCGGGATCGATTTGGAGGTGGAGGGTCCATCATGGTCTGGGGCGGTGTGTCACAGCATCATCGGACTGAGCTTGTTGTCATTGCAGGCAATCTCAACGCTGTGCATTTCAGGGAAGACGTCCTCCTCCCTCATGTGGTACCCTTCCTGCAGGCTCATCCAGACATGACCCTCCAGCATGACAATGCCACCAGCCATACTGCTCGTTCTGTGCGTGATTTCCTGCAAGATAGGAATGTCAGTGTTCTACCATGGCCAGCGAAGAGCCTGGATCTCAATCCCATTGAGCATGTCTGGGACCTGTTGGATCGGAGGGTGAAGGCTATGGCCATTCCCCCCAGAAATGTCCGGGAACTTGTAGGTGCCTTGGTGGAAGAGTGGGGTAACATCTCACAGCAAGAACTGGCAAATCTGGTGCAGTCCATGAGGAGATGCACTGCAGTACTTAATGCAGCTGGTGGCTACACCAGATACTGTCTGTTACTTTAGATTTTGACCCCTCCCTTTGTTCAGGGACCCATTATTCAATTTCTGTTAGTCACATGTCTGTGGACCTTGTTCAGTTTATGTCTCAGTTGTTGAATCTTATGTTCATACAAATATTTACACATGTTAACTTTGCTGAAAATAAACAGTTGACAGTGAGGACGTTTCTTTTTTTGCTGAGTATGTATGTATGTATGTATGTATGTATGTATTGTACACGTCAACTATGACAGACAAAATGAGGAAAAAATCCCAGAAAATCACATTGTAGGATTTTTAATGAATTTATTTGCAAATTATGGTGGAAAATAAGTATTTGGTCAATAACAAAGTTTCTCAATACTTTGTTATTACCCTTTGTTGGCAATGACACAGGTCAACGTTTTCTGTAAGTCTTCACAAGGTTTTCACACACTGTTGCTGGTATTTTGGCCCATTCCTCCATGCAGATCTCCTCTAGAGCAGTGATGTTTTGGGGCTGTCGCTGGGCAACACAGACTTTCAACTCCCTCCAAAGATTTTCTATGGGGTTGAGATCTGGAGACTGGCTAGGCCACTCCAGGACCTTGAAATGCTTCTTACGAAGCCACTCCTTCGTTGCCCGGGCAGTGTGTTTGGGATCATTGTCATGCTGAAAGACCCAGCCACGTTTCATCTTCAATGCCCTGCTGATGGAAGGAGGTTTTCACTCAAAATCTCACGATACATGGCCCCATTCATTCTTTCCTTTACACGGATCAGTCGTCCTGGTCCCTTTGCAGAAAAACAGCCCCAAAGCATGATGTTTCCACCCCCATGCTTCACAGTAGGTATGGTGTTCTTTGGATGCAACTCAGCATTCTTTGTCCTCCAAACACGACGAGTTGAGTTTTTACCCAAAAGTAATATTTTGGTTTCATCTGACCATATGACATTCTCCCAATCCTCTTCTGGATCATCCAAATGCACTCTATCAAACTTCAGATGGGCCTGGACATGTACTGGCTTAAGACGGGGACACGTCTTTCACTGCAGGATTTGAGTCCCTGGCGGCGTAGTGTGTTACTGATGGTAGGCTTTGTTACTTTGGTCCCAGCTCTCTGCAGGTCATTCACTAGGTCCCCCCGTGTGGTTCTGGATTTTTGCTCACCGTTCTTGTGATCATTTTGACCCCACGGGGTGAGATCTTGCGTGGAGCCCCAGATCGAGGGAGATATCAGTGGTCTTGTATGTCTTCCATTTCCTAATAATTGCTCCCACAGTTGATTTCTTCAAACCAAGCTGCTTACCTATTGCAGATTCAGTCTTCCCAGCCTGGTGCAGGTCTACAATTTTGTTTCTGGTGTCCTTTGACAGCTCTTTGGTCTTGGCCATAGTGGAGTTTGGAGTGTGACTGTTTGAGGTTGTGGACAGGTGTATTTTATACTGATAACAAGTTCAAACAGGTGCCATTAATACAGGTAACGAGTGGAGGACAGAGGAGCCTCTTAAAGAAGAAGTTACAGGTCTGTGAGAGCCAGAAATCTTGCTTGTTTGTAGGTGACCAAATAGTTATTTTCCACCATAATTTGCAAATAAATTCATAAAAAATCCTACAATGTGATTTTCTGGATTTTTTTCCCTCAATTTGTCTGTCATAGTTGACGTGTACCTATGATGTAAATTACTGGCCTCTCTCATCTTTTAAGTGGGAGAACTTGCACAATTGGTGGCTGACTAAATACTTTTTTTTCCCCTATATATTATTATATATATATATATACACACACACACACACATACAGTGAGGGAAAAAAGTATTTGATCCCCTGCTGATTTTGTACGTTTGCCCACTGACAAAGAAATGATCAGTCTATAATTTTAATGGTAGGTTTATTTGAACAGTGAGAGACAGAATAACAACAAAAAATCCAGAAAAATTAATGTCAAAAATGTTATAAATTGATTTGCATTTTAATGAGGGAAATAAGTATTTGACCCCCTCTCAATCAGAAAGATTTCTGGCTCCCAGGTGTCTTTTATACAGGTAACGAGCTGAGATTAGGAGCACACTCAAAGGGAGTGCTCCTAATCTCAGCTTGTTACCTGTATAAAAGACACCTGTCCACAGAAGCAATCAATCAATCACATTCCAAACTCTCCACCATGGCCAAGACCAAAGAGCTCTCCAAGGATGTCAGGGACAAGATTATATAGACATACACAAGGCTGGAATGGGCTACAAGACCGTCGCCAAGCAGCTTGGTGAGAAGGTGATTATTCGCAAATGGTGCGATTATTCGCAAATGGAAGAAACACAAAATAACTGTCAATCTCCCTTGGCCTGGGGCAACATGCAAGATCTCACCTCGTGGAGTTGCAATGATCATGAGAACGGTGAGGAATCAGCCCAGAACTACACGGGAGGATCTTGTCAATGATCTCAAGGCAGCTGGGACCATAGTCACCAAGAAAACAATTGGTAACACACTACGCTGTGAAGGACTGAAATCCTGCAGCGCCAGCAAGGTCCCCCTGCTCAAGAAAGCACATATACAGGCCCGTCTGAAGTTTGCCAATGAACATCTGAATGATTCAGAGGAGAACTGGGTGAAAGTGTTGTGGTCAGATGAGACCAAAATCGAGCTCTTTGGCATCAACTCAACTCGCCGTGTTTGGAGGAGGAGGAATGCTGCCTATGACCCCAAGAACACCTTCCCCACCGTCAAACATGGAGGTGGAAACATTATGCTTTGGGGGTGTTTTTCTGCTAAGGAGACAGGTCAACTTCACCGCATCAAAGGGACGATGGACGGGGCCATGTACCATCAAATCTTGGGTGAGAACCTCCTTCCCTCAGCCAGGGCATTGAAAATGGGTCGTGGATGGGTATTCCAGCATGACAATGACCCAAAACACACAGTCAAGGCAACAAAGGAGTGTCTCAAGAAGAAGCACATTAAGGTCCTGGAGTGGCCTAGCCAGTCTCCAGACCTTAATCCCATAGAAAATCTGTGGAGGGAGCTGAAGGTTCGAGTTGCCAAACGTCAGCCTCGAAACCTTAATGACTTGGAGAAGATCTGCAAAGAGGAGTGGAACAAAATCCCTCCTGAGATGTGTGCAAACCTGGTGGCCAACTACAAGAAACGTCTGACCTTTGTGATTGCCAAAAAGGGTTCTGCCACCAAGTACTGTCATGTTTTGCAGAGGGGTCAAATACTTATTTCCCTCATTAAAATGCAAATCAATTTATAAAATTTTTCACATGCGTTTTTCTGGATTTTTTGTTGTTATTCTGTCTCTCACTGTTCAAATAAACCTACCATCAAAATTATAGACTGATCATGTCTTTGTCAGTGGGCAAACGTACAAAATCAGCAGGGGATCAAATACATTTTTCCCCTCACTGTATGTATGTATGTATGTATGTATGTATGTATGTATGTATGTATGTATGTATGTATGTATGTATGTATGTATGTATGTATATACACACACATACATACACATTTTTATGTTCAAGTTAATTCAATCTTAATAGACAGGAAAACATTTACTGAGGTCACTGGTGTGAAATCTCTAGTTTATTTTATATCTATAATCCTACTCTTTTTTACTTTCATTTCAGTGCGCATTGCTCGGTCTCCCTGGCCTCTAGCCTCCTGTTGATCCTCTGCTCACGCCAAGTGCACGTGATCCTCTGCTCCACACTAGTGGCTCACCATTTCAGCTAACAGATAGCTTTGAGTAGAAACTAGCTATGGATCAATGGCTGAAACGCACAGTTTCAAGCAGCAGTAGCAGCACTAGCTCAAGTCAAAGTAACGTCAATTTCATGAATAGTATCTTCAGTTTCACCTCCTGTTTCCATAGAAAGCGGTCAGAATTTAAGGGAAGTCAAGATAAATTAAAGAAACAACTAGTGTCAACCAAAGCATTGGAGAGGCTTCATATGCTATTTCGCTACTTGTGGCAAAGTCAAAAAAGCCATTCATTATATCTGAGGAGTTAATTCTACCTGCTGCTGTTATCCTCACTGAAACTATGATTGATAAGACAGCAGCTGATGCACTGAAGACTGTACCATTGTCAGATAACACGGTATGCTGTAAAATCGATGACATGGGCATTGATATTGTTGATCAAGTGGTGGGAAAGTTAAATTCCAGTTATTTGAGCTGCAGTTGGACGAATGGACGGATGTCAGTGGGGAAGCCCAGTTGATTGCGTTTGTACGATACAGAGACATTTCGGAAATTAATGAGCACCTTCTGTTCTGTGAGAAGCTAACGGGGAGAACTATAGGTGATGAAGTGTTTCACGTTATTGACAGCTTTTTCTCAGGACACAATTTGGATTGGAAATCCTGTGTTCATGGATGGTCCGGCATCAATGACTGGGAGAGTGGAAGTATTAATTGCCCACAAAGAAAGTAAACCCAGACATTGAATGGAATCACTATCATTCACAGGGAGGCATTGGCCAGCAAGAGAATGAGTCTTGAGTTACATTATGTTAATAGTTTTTAAAAAGGCAGTGAAAGTGATTAACTTTATCCAGTCCAGTCCTCCGAATCACCGACTGTTTGAAAGGCTCTGTGATGACAGTGGGACTGAGCACCAACATCCATTGGCTATCCAGAGGGAAAACGCTACAGAGGCTTTTTGAGCTGCGGGGCCAAAGTAAGTGATTTGTCTGAGCACTCGCACTCCCTTGTGCCCGTGTTCGAGGGCACAGACTGGGTAGCCCGCTTTGCTGATGTGTTCAGCAAACTGAACAACCTGAATCTAACACTGCAAGGCAAAGACACACACATGCTAAACATGTATGACAAAGTGTGTGGATTCATAAAGAAGATCAAACTCTGGGAGAGTAAAGGTGAAGATGGGGATATAAGTTGTTTCCAGCAGCTTGACACCTACCTTTCTACAGGTGATATTGATAGAGCTCCTATGGTGCAAATAGTAAGCTCACATTTATCCAAACTAAGTGAGTTCAACTCCCTTACATTGAAAAAAAGTCTGCTAAACTTGACTGGGTGAGTAATCCTTTCATGATTGACAGTACCAACAACAGTCCTACCAGACTGCAAAAAAATATTCTGTATGTGTCCTCAGATCGTGGCCTGAAGAGGAGGTACTCAGAGAAAAGAGTGTCACAGTTCTGGTGTGATGTGGAGAAGGAATATCCTGATTTGGGGAAACATACACCAAATGAACTGCTGCCGTTTTAATCTACATCCATGACCCTAATCAAGACCCTGCACAAGAACATACTCGACTTGGAGAAAAGCCTGATCACTGCTGTTGCCACACAGCCTCCAAGACTGACAAAGCTAATAAGTGAGAGACAGAGTAAAGTTTCTCATTGATTGGAGAGTCCTCGTGCCATACACAAGTCTATAAATATGGGTTACATGTATTGGGAGTAAGTGTATAAAATGTGATCTTTGTTTGTATAATTTGTATGAAGAAATCCTATAAAAAAGATTAAACTGATGTTAGGAGTACATTAGTAATATTATAGTAATACATTATCATTCACAGTTAAATGACAGACAAATAATATTGATATTAAACCTAATTTAGTCAAATTTACACTTAATCTAGGAATCACGCCGGTCGCACACGCATGAGGGGGTACTTCAGTCAGGTCAAAGTGTTTTAGGGGTACAGTACCCAAAAAAGGTTGGGAACCACTGTACTATAGTACCCATAATAACGGTTTTATTTCAGTAGATAAATTCCTGAAAATAACTCATGTTGTCCTGTCACCATATCAATACAGGAAGGATAGACCAAAACAACTGACAGTAACATCTGGAGTAGCGAGACAAAACAATATAACAAGAATACAAAGCGTGATAAGGAACAGGGAACATACGTCAGAGACAAAACAGGAGATAGAATGGCAGAACTCATGAGACACAGGAGTTTTGAGAGATTGTGGTGTGTGTGTAGCAAGTACCTCGTCATCAGTGCGACTGGTCACCACCGTGTCGATCATCTTCCTGGGGTTGTTGACGCTGGACACAGTCAGCTTACCCAGCGAGCCTGCAAACTGCACTGTGGGGGTAAAACGATACACACGTATGTTACAGATACATCCTCAAAAACACACAAAGGTGATGTGATGATTATTCATTTAAAATCAGACCTGGGTTAAAATAGCATTGTTTTCTTTCTAATACTTGATTGAGCTTGCCTGGTGCAAAGGAACCAATGCAATAGTCCCAAAAGTGCAAACCCTGACCATGTGGCACACCAGGGAACAAATCATATTTGAACTCAGGTATGGATTTCATAACTGATTATGTATCATAATCATCCTAGTTTTGTAATAATCATTAATGTGACAGTGTGTTACCTGGTCTGTAGATGTGTTCCAGCTTGGCCACCTGGGGGGTGATGAGTTTGGTGGTGTGCTCCTTCCTCACGCCGTCTCTGTCTCTCTCCTGCCTCTTCTCCATCTTCTCAAAGTAATTCTGCCGGGCAACACAAAATAAGCATCCATTTATTTAAACATTTAATGCAACATAAACAGGGACAACTACTAAAAAAAAAGTGACCTAATCATAGAAAGCCAATAAAAATGTATAAGGATAATCCATACTAAAACTTTATTAACACTCAATTAAAATGTGGAAATCTGACCACAAAGGCCAGCGAGACCTATTGGTCCCTAGAAGGAGGTGAACAGGGATTAGACTGAGGTAGACAGCCATGTGGAACTAATAAAGAATCTGAATGACAGGATTGGAACAGTTGTTCTCTGGAGTACATCCTGATCTTGTTTATGACATGCTCCCTCCTTCTCCCATTCTAGAATGGTCCATCTAGGCTGGTAACGATCAGATATAAATACAATATGTAGAACCAACATGCGTTTCTGTCAATGTAAGGACTTGTGTCAGCTCTATAAATTACATTTCTATTTAACCCCATTCTAGGTTGTTAAGTAGGACAGAAGATGGAACGATCAGATAGAAACAGATTGTGTAGAGTGGACATGCATCTCTGCAAGAGGTTGCGTCAGGTTTATAACTGACATTTCTATCTGCCTTGTTCAGAACGTCACGCCCTCCTGAACACAACCCTGCACTGACCTGTGTCAAGTTCATTTGCGAACACCGTAGCAAAACATTTTTGCAGCGGAAAATGACAACAAGCATTAATTGGACCAAGTCCAGGTAGTCATTCCCCGTTTCAATCCATTTTCTTCCGTTGGGTGCCTAGTGAATACAACCCGGGGTCATGTTCATTAAGGCACACAGAAGGAAAAAAACATTTTGCACCAGAAAATGAAAACAGGCGTTTCTTATTGGACCAGGTACTCGCTCCCTGTTTCAGTCCATTTTGTTCCATTTGGTACCTAATGAACATGGCTGTGACTTTTTCCATTGACTTGTCTGTACTGACCTGGTAGTAGTAGTCATCCAGGTAGGGATCAGTGCTCTGCAGCTGCATCATCTGGATCTTGGCCACCCACTCCTTCTCCCTCTGGGTCATCAAGTTACTGTAGGGGTCCCTGCTCCGCCAGTCCCCCACACGCCCGCCACGCTCACTGGGGAGAGAGAAGATAGGGGAGGCAAAGTGAGAAAGAGGTTCCACAGCTGCTTCAGATGCAGGTCAGCTGAACGTAATGCATTAGCAATTCAAGGAAATCCGTAAGGCAGTTTATGGCAACAGCACTGTGGATGGATATGGAGGAGACATGCGGATGCTGGGACAACTCAAACTATTTAAACACACACACTTCAGTCTACATACCCTCCTCTACTCTGCATCCTCTGGGTAAGCATGCGGCGGTGCTGGGGGTGCAGGTGTGTGGTGTTGTGCCGGATGATGGGACAGGGGACGTGGTTGTGGTTGGGAGGGGGCCCGCCGGGGTGGGGACCCATCCTGTGGGGAGGGGGCTGGCCGAAGAAGGGCCTGAAGCCTCCGCCGCCAGGCAGCAACGGGGGACCCTGGCAGCCCCTGGGGAAGCCAGCAACCTGAGAGAGGGGGAAAGAGAAAGAAGGAAAGAAAAAATATATAGATATTTTAGAGGAAAGGAAGTGAGGCTGGCATTGAATGTGTTTCGTGGAAATTCACCACTAAGGACTCAGACTCAATGTAAATGAATCAATCTTTATTATCACGGCCGGAGAGGTTAACAAAATGTTCCCTTTCAGACCTTATATACTTCTAAACAAACAAGTCATATAAGCATGATTTACATTATTCATTATTCACGTTGGTTCCTGCATGTGACTGATGAGGCTTCTTCTCTCAAAGCTGGGACCTTGAAACTGAGATACTCCTTTTTATTCGCGGAGCAATGTTATGGGCGTACTGCCAATTGGTTTGAGGAGGCGGTCACAGTCACCTGCACGAACCAAGATGCTGTGTACAATTCAAGGCTCTCTCTTCAGACAATACATTTTTCCCTCATGTGTTTATGCAAACACCCGTTTCACATACCGGTATGTATAGAAGTTCATTGATATGTTGTACATGTGAATAATTTTTGTTCATAGGGAGTATGCATGGGGTGTATTCCCTACGCACCAAACGGAAGCAAAAGGTCTGAAACAGGGAGGGACTAAATTACCTTATTATAGAAACGCTAATTTCCGTTGCAACACTTTTTTCTACGGTGTGCACTTATGAATTAATACACCCCAGGTGGCCTAATTTGTGAGTGAGACGGCTCAAGGTGAGTGCATTCAGGTGTACAGATGAGAACACAGGTGAGTGTTTAGTCCAGGTGTTGAGTCCAGTGGCGATTTTAGCATGTAAATCTTGGTGGGGCAAACTCCTCCCCCCAAAATGTTATGCATGCCAGCAAAGCCACTACACAACACTAAACAATACATTAATTGGACTATGACTGTGACAAACGGTGCCAACAAACTGTTAGGGCCTACGTAAAGCTGTCCCAACACCTTACCACTGTTGCACCTGGCTATCAGCGGAGCCTTGTATGGCAGCGAAACAGTTCATTCAGCCTCATTTACTGCCTTAAAAAAAATTAAACATTGCTCATATGGCTGACTTGCTTAAACAAATGTGGTTTCTACTGACAATTGAAATGTACAAACTATGGCATAAGGGGCCGCCGAGCGGATAAGAGGCAATCCATAATTTCGATTAAGACATTAATGAGCGAGCTAGGATGGACGTAGTCAATATAACTATTTGTTCAGCACTTTTGAAATGTACAGCGACAGAATTCAGAACACGGGCCATTCTTACAGTATTCTCTCTGTACACCAAGTCAGAACCGTAGGATAAATAAAGGGGCCATATAAGCAGACAATGAAAGCTCTTACAATATTCGATGATGACATTTCTCTAAAACACGCTATAGGCTACATGTGCAACACCAAGTCAGAACAATAGGCTAAATAATATGGGAAAAGGGACCAAATTATTAGGGTGAGTCACATGGGCTACTAAAAGCTTACTACACAACATACACTTAGTTTTACTTTCTTAGCTTAGTGGTTAAGAGCGTTGTGCCAGTAACCGAAAGGTCACTGGTTCTAATCCCCGAGCCGACTAGGTGAAAAATCTGTCGATGTGCCCTTAAGCAAGGCACTTAACCCCAATTGCTCATGTTAGTCGCTCTGGATAAGAGCGTCTGCTAAATGACGTAAATGTAAATGTTAGCTACAGTATAGATATCTTCCTGGCATTTTAGATAATTTATGCAGTAACATACAATACATTTTTGGACTCACCTTGTTGTGCTGTGCTCACTTGAACAGGAAGGTGCTTCGTGGACAAATTTTGTCATCAAACTTGGTCATCAAAGTCCGGCATTCTCTGGATTTATGGTGCTTTCAAGACAACTGGGAACTTGGAAAAAAACAGGGTTGATCTTCAGGTCGGAGCTCTAGAAAGAGGCCAGAGTTCCTGACTTGAAATTCCGAGTTGGATCACTGTTCAAAACATATTTTCCCAGTTGGAGCTCGTTTTTCCCCCCCAAGTTCCCAGTTGTCTTGAACTCAATGAAGTCTGAGATTTCCCCAGGTACGAATTTCCAGTTGTTTTGAAAGCGGCAGAGGTCATGCTGGATTGACAGCATGGCCAATGTTGTATGTATATCCTTTTAAGCTTGGAAAAGAGAGCCTTTAACACAGACTTGGACCACACATCCACTCCACTGAATAGCAGGCTAGTGATTGCTTTGCAATGCTTGCAGTTAGCCACTGATTCCTTCCAAACCATTAATTGTTGAATTTGCGATTTCCAACTTGTTGTGGAATGTTTATGTCCAATGGCCGATGAGCACCGATACGTTTTATTTATAATTTCTCTTCATATGACAAGGATTGAAAAGGATTTGCCAGTAGATTGTCGACTTAATTCATGATGATGACTGCTAGCTAAGATTGTGAAAGTATGATGTTGACATGATCAGTCCAACCAAAGCTACTGTAGATATAACGTGATTTGACGTCATTTTATCTGTGGCCAATGACTTTGAGCCTTCTTGGATGGGCACTTCTAACGTAGCTCTATAGCAGCACCCAAGGGGCTTGAATTTTCGAGCTCTCCCCGTAGATTTTGCGGTGACGTAGTGTCCCCATCAGAGACAGAACACTGAGCCAATCATAGTGCAACTAGAGAACATTACCAAACCCTACGCGCCTTATTTTCCGCTGGCTGCCCCACCACCACAGAAAGCACTGCATTTTGGAGCTGCCTTACTCAAGAAAGCAAAAAAGAGACCATGTTTGTATGTGGCTTTATTAACTCAATTATATATATATATCTTTTTTTTTACATTGTTTGCAAACTGATATGTGACATGTACTAATTGAATGCCAAAATAACATGCTAAACAGGCTCTGCCCCACCTGCCCTTAATGACGGGTCACCACTGGTTGAGTCTCACCTGAGAGTTGAGCATCTGGGCGCGTTGGATCTGGGACAGAACGGGACCCACTCCAGCCGGGAACGGAGGACGACACAGAGGAGAGTTCTAACAGACAGAGAGAGAACCAACTCAGAACCCTACAGAACCAACACTGACCTGGAACGTGCATCTGCAGTGAGCTAGAGAGAGTCCATCCATGAGCCAAGCTATTGAGCCAAAACCAAGCTAGCTGCTATGGAATAATATTTATTTGTTTTTTTTTATTTTTAATATTTGTTTTACCCTCACGGAAGTAAGTGACCATGAAAAGTCAACACTCAGTTGACAATTGGTGAAAAACACCACATCTGTTCAGACCGCCAAAATAAAACTTTAGATTCCTCAACTTCACATGCCCTACCTAATAAAGTAAGGGAAGAACGGAGAGGTAGTCAAAGTAGAGAGGGAGGCAGGGAGACTCACGGCAATGTTTAGGAGGGTGTTGGGGGAGATGCGCTCGGGGAAGGAAGGGGGGTAGCGGTGTTGGTGGTGGACCGGGGCTCGCACATGAACGGCAGTGGGGTGGTGGATCTGCAACACACACACAGGAGAGAGAGGGAGAAGGTTTCAATGCAACTAATTAGCCTATAACTGTACACAGAGAGAGGGTTAACTCCGGCTTTGCAACAGATAGGAAGAGAGTAGAGGCAGAAACAGGAGGATAACAGCAAGCACTTATTAATTGTCTAATACAGTGGTCTCAAACTCCAGGCCCGCGGGCCACCATAGTGTGACTCGGGGGCCAGATGTGGCCCATGAACTGGAAGTTTGAGACCACTGGTGTAATAACTATAAACAGTTGTTACTTCTGCAGAATAAAGCCATGTTATACAAAACCACACAGAGAAGGGCATACACAGATTACAAGAAATAGCCAAAACTACACAAAGAACTATTTTTAATACAAGTAGGAGTATTTTGCATACAGAGAGAAGATGAACAGTCCATAATGATCCCTAATGGAATGACTAAAAAGAGGGAGAAAGGAGAGAAAGGGCAGAATTCTCCCACTGACCTGCTGCTGATGATTCATAGCATGACTCATCGGCTGCTTGGGCGGAGTCCCGATAGGCACCGCCCTCACTGGTGGGCTACCAATCACGGGAGAGGACGAGCGAGGCGGGGGGGCCCTTTCCGACAAGTCCCGCCCATCCTCGCTCATCATTGGCGGAGGCCGATTGGGCAGACCCACCTCTTTGATGATGGACATAAGTGGACTGTCCTGGAAAGACGGGGAAGAAAGAGAATAATAATTCATTCAATTGCTTTAAACAAGATCTGGTAAGTCATTCAGAGGGCAAATGTGCCAGCTATGTTGTTTTTTCCATGTAAAGTACAGGGCCACGCTCAGCAAGGCACAACGTAGCTAAACCGTTTGCAACCGAAAAGCAGTGTTCTTATTTGACAAATTCAGGAAGTACATCCCTGTTACAGCCTGTTTCAAAACCGGCAGGTGTCTTACCTCCATTTGAGTGATTAGTCCAGGGGTGACGCTCACAGGCCCAAATCCCATGTTGTTCTCCCAGATATTGTGTGAGTTCATCTGAAAGAGAGAGGCAGAGAAAGCGTGTCAGAAGGCGCCGCTCCACTAGTGATGCATAATATTTGTCCCTCATTGAACGAGCTGATAGTTCCTTCTCCAAACCCTATAACGTAGTTCTGTAGCATACAGATCTACAGTATACTAGAGCAGTTGTTGTCAAACCTCTCCTTGGGGACCCCCAGACGTTTCAAAATGTTGGTGTAGCCCTGAACCAGCTCACCTTATTCACCTAGTCAAGAGCTTGATATTTAGTTGACAAGTTGAATCAGGTGTACCTAACTCTGGCATAGATCAAACACATGGAACGGCTGGGGGTCCACAGGAGAGGTTTGAGAACCACTGCACAAGATACAATGATTACTACAGTATAATATACTAGACTGTCTCACCTGTTGCATGGGGGCCGCCCCTCGGCGTATGAGGTGCTGATGCTGCTGGTAGCTAAGCAGGGAGGGGTGCGGTGGGCCAGGGGGCAGCCCAGACGGGGTCAGCTGGTGGTGGGGAGGGAGCTGGGAGGGGTGGTGGTGTTGGTGGTGCTGCTGCTGCGGCATGGAGGGGGGAGCAGGGAGACCACTGGACCGGTCACCAGGCCCGGCTGGACCACCCACGCTGGCGATGGCCGGGTCCGCCCCTAAGATCAACATGGCTAGGGACTCGGCTAGGTCGCCTCCCCCCCTCTCCTCCAGGCCCGGAGGGGGAATCGAAGAGAGGGCGTGATGGGGTGGGGGGAGGGACGACGGGTGGGGGATGCGACTGGCGGGAGGAGGGAGGTGAACGGTGGAAGCGTCTCCTCCTCCTCCTCCCATTCCCCCCATCCCTAGTCCCCCTAGTCCTAAACCTCCGAGTCCGTCGTTCTTTCGTTCTTCGAGCTCGGCGAGCCGCTTGTGCTCCTCCTGCCAGTCATCATCTGTAGGAGGAAATAAGTAATTCCATTATTACAGGTGTCATTCAGGTAATAGAGACTGACTGACAATGGGGGATTTTAACTGTGAATGGTAACGTTAGCGATAAGGTAAAGGACGATATTTAAATCTAACCTTGGGTGAAGGTGTTTATGCTTATGACAATGACAAAGGAATTGCCTAATTTGACACAACAGATTTTACCATGACCATACGCTGCGTACACCCCCCCCCACCCCCCCGTTGGGTGTTGTGCAATAGCCTACACAATTGCGCACAGTGGGCTAAGTGTCCAATCCGACGCACGGAAACATATGAAAACATCCAGCAGCCGTTTATCGCACCATCAGAAGTGTGTCCCGCTGATGGCCCCTCAGGTTTCAATGGGCTTCTTATCGTTTTCAGATGATTGATTAGAATTAAGCTTCCAGAACATTCACATGTAGCTAAACTGTTCAATCAGCACAGTCTGGACACTTTCCTACCTGTGCAGGTCAGCCAATTGATACAGACTTTCCATATTGGTTCCGATCACTAGTAGCCTAATAATGCTCCTCCAATCTATAGAGAGATATTCAGTATGTTGCTGACAAACAGCATGTTTAAGGCCCTCAAGGGATTTGGCCCGAGCAAGCCGCTGTACAAAATATCTACTATAGTAAACAATGAAAATGAATGGATCTGCACAGCGCCTTGCAAATCAACATCTAGACCTATATGGTTTGAGCCTACGTTTCAAGGAAATATTATTATTGTAGGCCTAGTTTTATTATATTGATAATTAGATTGTAGAGCAATTTGAAATAAAAAGTGTTAACAAAAAGTTGAATGAACTTCTTTCGATTTCTTTGTTTTTTTATTGAACTTTGTCATGTAGCCTAGGGTTATTTGTTATTAGTATGTTTACAGATTAGATTGCCCAACCCAGTTTGATTTATTCTTTTATTCTGTAAACATTGTAGAAACTAGATATCAGCCTAGATATAGTAGGCCTATAAGCAGGTTTAAAGGACTTCCCCAGCCAGCTGTTCTACGCACACAAAATCAATGTTTCCATTTCCATACAGTGCCTTCGGAAAGTATTCAGACCCCTTGACTTTGTCCACATTTTGTTAAATTACAGCCTTATTCTAAATAGATTTTTTTTTTTAAATAATTCCCTCAGCAATCCACACACACACAATACAGGTCCCACAGTTGGCTGTGCACGTCAGAGCAAAAACCTAGCCATGGGTTTGAAGGTATTGTCCGTAGAGCTCCAAGACAATAGTGTGTCTAGGCATAAATCTGGGGAAGGATACCAAAACATGTCTACAGCAATAAAGGTCCAAGAACACAGTGGCCATCATTCTTAAATGGAAGAAGTTTGAAACCACCAAGACTCTTCCTAGAGCTGGCCGCCCGGCCAAACTGAAGAGAAGGGCTTTGGTCAGGGAGGTGACCAAGAACCTGATGGTCACTCTGACAGAGCTCCTCTGTGGAGATGGGAGAACCAGAAGGACAACTATCTCTGCAGCACTCCACCAACCAGGCCTTTATGGTAGAGTGGCCAGACGGAAGCAACATGACAGCACGCTTGGAGTTTGCCAAAAGGCACGTAAAGACTCTCAGACCCTGAGAAACAAGATTCTCTGGTCTGATAAACCAAGATCGAACACATTGGACTGAACGCCAAGCGTCACACCTGGAGGAAACCTGGCACCATCCCTACGGTGAAGAATGGTCGTGGCAGCATCATGCTGTGGGGTTGTTTTTCAGCAGCAGGGACTGGGAGACTAGTCAGGACCGAGGTAAAGATGAACGGAGCAAAGTACAGAGAGATCCTTGATGAAAACCTGCTCCAGAGCGCTCAGGATCTCCGACTGGGGCGAAGGTTCACCTTCCAACAGGATGACGACCCTAAACACACAGCCAAGACAACGCAGGAGAGGCTTCAGGACAAGTCTCAATGTCCTTGAGTGGCCCTGCCAGAGCCCGAACTTGAACTCGATCCAACATCTCTGGAGGGACCTGAAAATAGCTGTGCAGCAACCCTCTCCACCTCACAGAGCTTGAGAGGATCTGCAGAGAAGAATGGAAGAAACTCCAAATACAGGTGTGCCAAGCTTGTAGCATCATACTCAAGAAGACTTGAGGCTGTAATCACTGCCAACGGTGCTTCAACAAAGTACTGAGTAAAGGGTCTGAATACTTCTGTAAATGTCATATTTTAGTATAATTTTCTATAAATTAGCAAACATTTCTAAAAACCAGTTTCGCTTTGTCAGTATGGGGTATTGTGTGTAGTGATGTGAAAAAAACAATTTAATCAATTTTAGAATAAGGCTGCAACGTAACAATGTGGAAAAAGTAGAGTGGTCTGAATACTTTCCAAAGGCACTGTAGGGTAGCTAGTCATGTTACAGAGAGTGTTTTTTAACAAAAACAACCAAATGTTGGCTTTTAACCATCTAAATATTTTATACAATATTCTGCCCAAATGAACAAATGTACACTACCAGTCAAAAGTTTGGACACACCTACTCATTGAAGGGTTTTTCTTTATTTTTACTATTATTTACATTGTTGAATAATAGTGAAGACATCAAAACTATGAAATAACATATGTAATCATGTACTAAACAAAAAAGTGTTAAACAAATCAAAATATATTTGAGATTCTTCAAGTAGCCACCCTTTGCCTTGATGACAGCTTTGCACACTCTTGGCATTCTCTCAACCAGCTTCACCTGGAATGCTTTTCTAACAGTCTTGAAGGAGTTCCCACATATGCTATGCACTTGTTGGCTGCTTTTCCTTCACTCTGCGGTCCGACTCATCCCAAACCATCTTAATTGGGTTGAGGTCGGGGGATTGTGAAGGTCATCTGATGCAGCACTCCATCACTCTCCTTCATGGTAAAATAGCCCTTACACAGCCCGGAGATGTGTTGGGTCATTGTCCTGTTGATAGACAAATGATAGTCCCACTAAGCCCAAACCAGATGGGATGGCGTATCGCTGTAGAATTATGTTTCTGGTGGCCATGCTGGTTAAGTGTGCCTTGAATTCGATCATCCGTTCACTCACACCACGTCTCACAAAGACACGGCGGTTGGAACCAAAAATCTCAAATTTGGACTCCAGACTAAAGGACAAATTTCCACCGGTCTAATGTCCATTGTTCGTGTTTCTAGGCCCAAGCAGGTCTCTTCTTATTATTGGTGTCTTTTAGTAGTGGTTTCTTTGCAGCAATTCGACCATGAAGGCCTGATTCACACAGTCCCCTCTGAACAGTTGATGTTGAGATGTGTCTGTTACTTGAACTCTGTGAAGCATTTATTTGGGCTGCAATTTCTGAGGCTGGTAACTAATGAACTTATCCTCTGCAGCAGAGGTAACTCTGGGTCTTCCATTCCTTTGGCGGTCCTCATGAGAGCCAGTTTCATCATAGCACTTGATGGTTTTTGCGACTGCACTTGAAGAAACTTTCAAAGTTCTTGAAATGTTCCGTATTGACTAACCTTCATGTCTTAAAGTAATGATGGACTGTTGTTTCTCTTTGCTTGTTTGAGCTGTTCTTGCCATAATATGGACTTGGTCTTTTACCAAATAGGGCTATCTTCTGTATACCGCCCCCTACCTTTTCACAACATAACTGATTGGCTCAAACGCATTAAGAAGGAAAGAAATTCCATAAATTAACTTTTAAGAAGGCACACCTGTTAATTGAAATGCATTCCAGTTGACTACCTCATGAAGATGGTTGAGAGAATGCCAAGAGTGTGCAAAGCCAGCATCAAGGCCAAGGGTGGCTATTTGAAGAATATAAAATATAACATTTATTTTTTATTTGTTTAACACTTCTTTATTTACTACATGATTCCATATGTGTTGTTTCATAGTTACATTTACATTACATTTTAGTCATTTAGCAGACGCTCTTATCCAGAGCGACTTACAGTTAGTGAGTGCATACATTATTTTTATTTTTTTCATACTGGCCCCCCGTGGGAAACGAACCCACAACCCTGGCGTTGCAAACACCATGCTCTAACAACTGAGCTACATCCCTGCCGGCCATTCCCTCCACTACCCTGGACGACGCTGGGCCAATTGTGCGCCGCCCCATGGGTCTCCCGGTCGCGGCCGGCTACGACAGAGCCTGGATTCGAACCAGGATCTCTAGTGGCACACTCGGGAGTGGTCTAGAATAGTGAAGACAGTTTTGATGTCTTCACTATTCTACAATTTAGAAAATAATAAAAAAAAAACTGGAATGAGTAGGTGTCCAAACTTTTGAATGGTACTGTATATTAGGGAATAAGTGAACCAATTTCGGTAGCCTTTATATATTTTTTAAAAAGAGCCTTTACGAGTTTCTCCGTTCCCCAGCCAATTGCACACACACAGGTGCTGACAAAGGAGTTTGCTTCTACTGAAAAATAAATAATAATAATTTTGAGTGGTTGTCCCACTGGCTATCATAAGTTGAATGCACCAATTTGTAAGTTGCTCTGGATAAGAGCGTCTGCTAAATTACTTAAATGTAAATTGTAATATAACACGTTGCGGCGGCAGTGCTTCAGTAAATGATAACGCCTTCTGTGCCTTTGTCATTCAGAACGAGAAGAGTTTGTGGTTGGCTCAGTCTTTAATGCTCTTAGTATGCCACTAAACAACATGCTATAGCTAAGTTAACCATATGCCTTGCATTCTGACAGTCTCAAAACAGTAGGGCTGACCCTACTGGTTGATAGGCTGTTGGTCGACCAAGATTGTTTTTGTCGAGCAGTCTAATTTGTATTACATTTTTTATGGCACGAGATGCCTGTCCGATTCACACGTCCCAGTGGACTAATCTATTGCTGAGGCCGCGGGGATGGCACACCGGTATCAGCAGTAGTACAGTGCCTTGCAAAAGTATTCATCCCCCTTGGCGTTTTTTTCCTATGTTGTTGCATTACAACCTGCAATTTAAATGGATTTTTATTTGGATTTCATGTAATGGACATACACAAAATAGTCCAAATTGGTGAAGTGAAAAAAAGTAAGTGTTTCAAAAAATTCTAAAAAATAAATAACGGAAAAGAGCATATGTATTCACCCCCTTTGTTATGAAGCCCCTAAATAAGATCTGGCGCCACCAATAACCTTCAGAAGTCACATAATTAGTTAAATAAAGTCCACCTGTGTGCAATCTAAGTGTCACATGATCTGTCACATGATCTCAGTATATATACACACACCTGTTCTGAAAGGCCCCAGAGTCTGCAACACCACTAAGCAAGGGGCACCACCAAGCAAGCGGCTTCATGAAGACCAAGGAGCTCTCCAATCAGATCAGGGACAAAGTTGTGGAGAAGTACAGATCAGGGTTGGGTTATAAAAAAATAGAAACTTTGAACATCCCACGGAGCACCATTAAATCCATTATTAAAAAATGGAAAGAATATGGCACAACAACAAACCTGCCAAGAGAGGGCCGCCCACCAAAACTCACAGACAAGGCAGAGAGGCAACAAATAGACCAAAGATAACCCTGAAGGAGCTGCAAAGCTCCACGGCGGAGATTGTAGTATCTGTCCATAGGACCACTTTAAGCTGTACACTCCACAGAGCTGAGCGTTACGTAAGAGTGGCCAGTAAAAAGCGATTGCTCAAAGAAAAAAATAAGCGAACACATTTGGTGTTCGCCAAAAGGCAAAAGAGAATAAAATTGAGCTTTTTGGCAATCAAGGAAAACGCTATGTCTGGCGCAAACCCAACACCTCTCATCACCCCGAAGCAAAGAGGTGGCAGCATCATGCTGTAGGGATGTTTGGGAACTGGTCAGAAATGAAGGAATGATGGATGGCGCTAAATACATGGAAATTCTTGAGGGATACCTGTTTCAGTCTTCCAGAGATTTGAGACTGGGACGGACGTTCACCTTCCAGCAGGACAATGACCCTAAGCATACTGCTAAAGCAACACTCCAGTGGTTTAAGGGGAAACATTTAAATGTCTTGGAATGGCCTAGTCAAAGCCCAGACTTCAATCCAATTGAGAATCTTTGGTATGACTTAAAGATTGCTGTACACCAGTGGAACCCATCCAACTTGATGGGTCTGGAGCAGTTTTGCCTTGAAGAATGGGCAAACATCGCAGTGGCTAGATGTGCCAAGCTTATAGAGACATACCCCAAGAGACTTGCAGCTGTAATTGCTGCAAAAGGTGGCTCTACAAAGTATTGACTTTGTGGGGGGGGGGGGGGGGGGGTGAATAGTTATGCACGCACAACTTCTGTTTTTTGGTCTTATTTCTTGTTAGTTTGACAAAAATATATATTTTGCATCTTCAAAGTGGTAGGCATGTTGTGTAAATCAAATGATACAAACCCCCCCAAAATCCATTTAAATTCCAGGTGGTAAGGCAACAAAATAGGAAAAATGCCAAGGGGGTGAATACTTTCGCATGCCACCGTTTATTCCCATAATTCTAATCTACAATGTTTGTTTGGTTACAGTAATTTCTGTTAATGTATTCAATACATTATTATTACAGTCTTTTACCATTCCCTTTGTTGGAGTGGTCATGTTTGTTTTGCGGACCGCACAACCTAGGCTACACTTGTGAGGAACAAGTTTTGGTTTATTTCATTCTATTTAGGAGTTGTCAATTTATTCATTGTCATTTGTTTGTAGCGCTCCTGTCAATGTTGAGTAAGGACACACACCTGATTATACATAGAAGTAAGCCTAGGCTACCTAGCCTGCGCATAAATGTAGGCCTATAAATGTGCCCATTTGGGGATCTGATAGCATCTATGATTGTAGTTCCACAGTGGTAGTGAGTTAAGACAAAGTCATTTTTTCTTAACCTCAAACAGCAAGTAAACAAAGTCTGTTTTTACATCCATTGTGAATGACAATAGTTCCTCAACGTAGCTTATTTGAAAATTATTTCCAGCTCTCTCCCTTTCGATAACCACTCAGCATGAAAGCGAAAAAATGTCATGCTCTGATCCGGTGGAAACGTCATAAAATAGGCCTACCTGATTACTTTTTATCCCTTGCACAAATAGTCTACAGCTATGTCTGTCCAGAGCAGGAAACTGAGGGTCCAGAATATTTTATACAATGTTGCAACTTCGCTAGTGCCCGCTTCAGGCCAACCCAAGTTAATAGTTGATACAATGTTTCAAGTTCGTTGCAGCAGGCCATGCATAGGCAATGTCATTTATAGGATATTTTATTTTTATCCGGATATTTTCTACCTGCAGGCTGCAATGTTTTTATTTGTTGGCTTTATGTAGGCTATTTTTACATAGTTGGCAATAAAAGTTACTTTTAGAATTCTGATTAACCACATGATCATGACTGAGATACAAAGAATTTATTATAAATTAAATGAAACTGATCCTCGAAAATGTGCATATAAAAATCATAACTGACACGCAGATCGGTAGAAATGGTAAGATAAATTGCCACTTCAAACGGAAAAGGCGTAGCCTATTAGAAGCGTAACAGCAGAATCTGCAAAGGCCAGCCGCAGCGGGAGGATGAGGGTCGGGAACAGGTTTTTCTTCATCTTGATTTCTGGCTCCCTCGAGTCACTTGCATGTCTTCATTATTTAATTACAGTGTGCTCAAAGCATTAGACAAGCGCAGTAGCCTACATATAGTTGATTTTATCGATTGGTCGAAAGAACAGACAACTCTAGGTCGACAAATATTTTTTTTAGTTGAGACAGTCCTACAAAACAGACAACGTTACAATGCGTATAACTTCCTATTTATTATGGGCCCGTTTCTCAAACACAGCTTTAGCCTAGGCGAAACATCGTTTTCGAGAACCCATGGGGGCTTACAGCCATTCCCCCTTTTGGGTTCTCAGATGCTCCATGTGAACTACAATCCTGACGCTCTGATTTAATGTAATCCTTGCTTACGATTTTGGAAACCTTTGGAACTTAACTTTCGTACCAGCGAGAAATTATCTTTCAAATACAAAAGCTACACTTACTGTACGCGGTTTAGCAAAGTTGCACCCGGCTGTAAAACAGCCTCCCACCGAGGTACCACACATCTTCTCACCTTGCACTCGCATTTCCATTAGACCATTCCATATTTCCGGTCATAAGCAGGTGTTACTCAAAACACAGCCGGATGCAACTTTACAAAACTGCGTACAGAAAGTGCATGTTCTGTATTAGAACAATTATTTATTGTTCATATGAAAGCTACGCTCCAAATGTTTCCAAAACTGTATCGTGTGCGAGGTGTATTTGCGATTAGACAGAGGGCATTTCCTGCACAAGGCTAAAGGGGACGTCCAATGGCCCAAGGTTATTATAGTCTTGTTATTTACATTTGTTTTTATTTCATTTGTAGTTTAGTTTCAGTTAGTTTTCACACCTGATTTGCTCGTTTTTATTTCGTTTTTGCTGTATACAAATATTTAGATTTTGTTTTGATATTATTTAGTTTCAGGTGTTTTGTCAGTCAGTTGGTGAAAGATGGGCAATAGTGACTCACCGATGGCTCCGTCTCCGAAGGTGTCGTCATTAAACTGGTCAATCTCATCTTCTTCTTCTACCAGCCCCCCCTCCTTCTCCAGGGTACAATCTTCATCAAGGGACTGGAGGGAGTGAGAGAACAGAGAGAGAGATGAGAGGAAGTAGGGAGGGAGGAATGAGAGAGAGAAGAGGGGAGAGAGGTATGGGAGAGAGCAAAAGGAGGTATGACAGATATGGAAGGATGACAGAGAGAAAGAGAAGCAACAAGAGATGTAGATAGACGGGATATTGACTGTTGTTGAAGGGAGGGGATGTGGTAAGGTCATCAAGAAATTGACAGATTCAAGAAATAAGTCTTGAATGCTGTTTTTACTCATGCATAATATATTCGTTAAAAAATATCAGAAAAATGATTTCAGATAATTATACTCTGGTCAGATCTTCAGATTTCTTAGCAAGCTCTTTAAGCAAATAGAGACTTTATCCGCAGATATGTCTCAGGACACAATTTGAACGAAATTACAGATTTCCCTCAATTTGATAGCGAATGATTAGAACCCTGTAGAAATACTCGTGACTATTTCAAGAACCCACGTGGAAGGGGGAGGTCAATTTTGCCAGATAGTTACATCTACAACAAGATTGATTGGTGCCACTAGTTTAGAAGTAGCTAGCCCAAGATGTAACGTTACTGTTCAGAAGTTAACGTTAGCGTCTATGAAAATGATAGTTTAGAAAATTATGCGGAGAAGAACAGTCCAGCATTTCACAGGCAGAGTGCTCCAAGTCACCTTTAACAATCGACTCAATAAATTGTATTTCCATTCCAAAGAAAAGTGGCATAGCTACTATACTTCTGAACCTGTCACTGTGCAGTCAAACATGAGCCATCTAGCAACTTAGCTAGCTAGCCATCTTATCCCCTATCAAGACAATGTTTCCCAGACAAGAACCAGAAAAGCTAGCTAACGTTAGGAGGGAAAGGCTGCGCAAACTAACTAGTTACATCACACGGGATCCACGTCGATAGCACATTTCCTCATAAAATTACACCATTCTTTAGTATTTGACTTTTACAGAAAAAAGAAAAAAAGAAGCCACATCATGTTGAGCACGACAGCCACGTCCATACTCAGTTCACTGGACACCCAGGCCCGTGACGGGTGGGGGACAATATGACGGGGAAAGCCTGGTGCTTGGTAGGCCGCACGGAGGAATTTTGTCAACGGAGTCGATATTGATAATCAAAAGGCAAAATCCCCCAGAATTGCCCATACTGGCCAAATTTCAACTCGTATTGAGGGAACGCTAGTTAAAATGTCTAGAGAAATTGCCAGACGTAATTAAAACACTGCTCACCTGAAAACGGAACATGTATCTTTAGTCCGTGAAAGGTACAATTCTCCCAAGTGCTGGAGGAAGGCGGCGCGCAAATTACGCAGGACCGGGGTTCGCGTGAGCGCGGCCAAGTCTATGTGCACGAGTACGTACGCAGGGAGAGGCTGCGACGCATGGCTTGCCACGACCTTTAACCTCTTCATCTCTCGGTTCCTCATATCCGGGGTACTCCTCCCGCAATCTCAAACAATGACATAGTACGGTTTTTAAACATGTCAAATCAAATCAAATTTGATTTGCCACATGCGCCGAATACAACAGGTGTAGACATTACCGTGAAATGCTTAATTACAAGCCCTTAACAACAGTGCATTTATTTTTTTTATAGAAAAGTAAAATAAAACAACAACAACAAAAAAGTGTTAAGAAAAAAAATGCAGAAGTAAAATATAATAACAGTAGGGAGGCTATATACAGGGGGGTACCGGTGCAGAGTCAATGTGCGGGGGCACCGGCCAATTGAGGTAGTTGAGGTAATATGTACATGTGGGTAGAGTTAAAGTGACCATGCATAAATAATTAACAGAGTAGCAGCAGCGTACAAATATGGGGGGGGGGGGGGGGGGGGGGGCAGTGCAAATAGTCCGGGTAGCCATGATTAGCTGTTCAGGAGTCTTATGGCTTGGGGGTAGAAGCTGTTGAGAAGTCTTTTGGACCTAGACTTGGCGCTCCGGTACCGCTTGCCATGCGGTAGCTGAGAGAACAGTCTATAGCTAGGGTGTCTGGTGTCTTTGACAATTTTGAGGGCCTTCCTCTGACACCGCCTGGTATAGAGGTCCTGGATGTCAGGAAGCTTGGCCCCAGTGATGTACTGGGCCGTACACACTACCCTCTGTAGTGCCTTGCGGTCGGAGGCCGAGCAGTTGCAATACCAGGTGGTGATGCAACCAGTCAGGATGCTCTCGATGGTGCAGCTGTAGAACTTTTGGAGGATCTGAGGACCCATGCCAAATCTTTTCAGTCTCCTGAGGGGGAATAGGCTTTGTCGTGCCCTCTTCACGACTGTTTTGGTGTGTTTGGACCATGATAGTTCGTTGGTGATGTGGACACCAAGGAACTTGAAGCTCTCAATCTGTTCCACTACAGCCCCGTCGATGAGAATGGGGGCATGCTCAGTCCTCTTTTTTTCCCTGTAGTCCACAATCATCTCCTTTGTCTTGATCACGTTGAGGGAGAGGTTGTTATCCTGGCACCACACGGCCAGGTCTCTGACCTCCTCCCTATAGGCTGTCTCATCGTTGTCAGTGATCAGGCCTACCACTGTTGTGTCGTCAGCAAACTTAATGATGGTGTTGGAGTCGTGCCTGGCCATGCAATCATGGGTGAACAGGGAGTAAAGGAGGGGACTGAGCACGCACCCCTGAGGGGCCCCCGTGATGAGGATCAGCGTGGCAGATGTGTTGTTACCTACCCTTACCACCTAGGGGCGGCCCGTCAGGAAGTCCAGGATCCAGTTGCAGAGGGAGGTGTTTAGTCCCAGGATCCTTAGCTTAGTGATGAGCTTTGAGGGCACGATGGTGTTGAACGCTGAGCTGTAGTCAATGAATAGCATTCTCACGTAGGTGTTCCTCTTGTCCAGGTGGGAAAGGGCAGTGTGGAGCGCAATAGAGATTGCATCATCTGTGGATCTGTTGGGGCGGTATGCAAATTGGAGTGGGTCTAGGGTTTCTGGGATAATGGTGTTGATGTGAGCCATGACCAGCCTTTCAAAGCACTTCATGGCTACAGACGTCAGTGCAACGGGTCGGTAGTCATTTAGGCAGGTTATCTTAGTGTCCTTGGGCACGGGGACAATGGTGGTCTTCTTGAAACATGTTCGTATTACAGACTCAGTCAGGGACATGTTGAAAATGTCAGTGAAGACACTTGCCAGTTGGTCAGCAAATGCTCGGAGTACACGTCCTGGTAATCTGTCAGTGTTATCTTTATTTTGCTACCAAGAGTATGTTTATAGCCCTTGTCGTTTTGGAGATATACTCTATTCGAGGCAGGCACTTTAGCCAGGTGCCTAGTGATGAAGAGGTTAAGTGCATGCAATGTATTATTATTTATGAATAGATTCAAGGTGCATTGATGTACATTTTAATATTGCCTTCAAATTCATGCTGGGATAAAAGTTACATAAAACACAGTAGTACAATAATACAGTAGTGCTAGTGCAGACACGATAACACATGTAGTCCAGATCAAGGTTCTTATGACAACGTTTCAGTTTTGTTTCCTCAGCCTGATGAACCCTTCCATGGTAGTCCCTCCCCCTGTTACCTAGGCAACAATCAGTGAATTGCTTGAATAACCAGTCTGTACCAGTGGCAGACTAGTCACAACATTTTCAGAAAGTAGTGGAGAGGGAGGACACACACCGTAAATAAGGTACTAACTTCAACGTGTGTGTGTCTGTGTTATGAAAATTATTATCTGGTGGTGGATGTTATTAGCAACATACTTGTTTGAAAACGGTTTTTTGATATTGGTTTTATTACTCTACTTTGATGCCTGAATATCACCTCTCTCTCTCTCTCTCTCTCTCTCTCTCTCTCTCTCTCTCTCTCTCTCTCTCCTCTCTCTCTCTCTCTCTCTCTCTCTCTCTCTCTCTCCATCCCCCCTTTTATCTCTATTCCTACAGTTCAAGATGGTGCGGTCTGTCAGAGAAGAAGGTAGTCGGCTGAGCACCATAGAAGACCTGAAAGACTCTGGCTTCGGCCGTCCTCCCCCCCGACACGGCCTCAAGCTCCTCTTCTGGTTCGCCAACGAGTGCGTGGCGTTCAATCACAACGGCAACATGCTGGTACAGTGCCACCCTGAGAGAGGCGACTTCGGCTTCCACTACTTTGGCAACTTCGAGAAGATTCTCCCAGTTCTATTGCGAGACCACAGGGAAAGCTACTTCGAGGTGGGCAACCTGAACACAGAGACCTATTCCAAAGCCGAGGACCTACCGGACTACGTGAGAAAGGACTATGGGCTATCCCTGGGCTACCGCCAATGCAACAAGGACCGCATAATCATCAGGCTGAGGCAGGGGGACGTGACAGCCACCTATGTCACCGAGCACAAGGAGGACGGCGGCCGGGGGGAGTTTGACTCCGAACGCACCCACCTTGTAAATCCGGATTTGATCCGCATCATACGGGACCCTGAGCTGGAGCTTGCGACATTCCTAGACCAGACGGGCTACATGGGGCTGTCGCTGAGAGAGCGCCTCCTCAGAGCTTTCAAGGTCTTCATCTTGTTTGTGGTCTTCCTGGTGATCGCTTCTATCATTTTGAGCATCTTAGGGAAGTTGTAGAGAGAGGAGTCTGATGTTAGCCATTGTGCATTTATAGGTTAAGTACATAGGTCATTTGCCATAGTGTTTTGGTTGGTTAGGTCATATAGCCCAGTAAATACAATGGTTATATTATTTTATAAATAGTAAAATAGTTATGTTATAAATAGTATGTTATTAGGCCTATTTGTAATATAGGATATATCTGTTTAAAAACATGAATTTACATGAATGGCAACTTTCTTTCTGTGACTATTTTGAATAAAAATCAAAGAAGAAAAGAAGACTAATTAGCCAATGTCTCTTGCTGTTGTTTCATTATAACAAAACATGTAATCTCTCTTGTTGTTTCATTATAGCAAAAATCGGATGTCATCTCAGGGGAGTATGACTCCGAACCCCCAGAACGATCAGGTCCGGACCAGAACACCTGGGATGATTTGGTTCGGACCACTTGGGATCCGGAGCAGCACCAGACCACGTCCCAGTTGGGACTATCGCTGAGACAAAGGTTCACCAGCGTCTTTGTAGTCATGCTAGTGGTCCTCCTGGTCATCACTTTGATCGTTTTGGTCATCTTAGGGAAGTTGTAGAGATAGCAGTTATTGTAGTTGTTGTGCTGCTGTTGGTCCATCAGGGTTGGGGTCAATTCTATTTCAATTCAGTCAATTCAGGAAGTAAACTGAAATTCTAATTTTTCCTGACGGTAAAGTTTTGAGAAATGATTGAATTGAAATGGAATTGATCCCATCCACTTGTCTTTTCTCACTAGCACTGATTTTGCACAGATTTTCCTTCCAAAGACTGTGATATGTGGTTGTCTTTACCTTCCATAGTCGAATGCACTGACTGTAACTTGCTTTGGATAAGAGTAAATTACTAAAATGTGAAATGTAACTTAATGTTTTTAAATCTTTTTGTAATCGATAAGATATTATCAGATATTTTATTTGACGATTTAGAATAAAATGAAAAGAAGACAAGTTGAATAATTTGTCTTTATTTCAACTGTGATATATTCCTGTTCTTTATACCATAGGGAACAGAAACCTCTCTAACATGCACACACGCATGCGCACACACACACACACACACACACACACACACACACACACACACACACACACACACACACACACACACACACACACACACACACACACACACACACACACACACACACACACACACACACACACACACACACACACACACACACACACTACATAAACACATGACATTTGTCACCTCATTGGCATTTGGTCTGAAGTTAGAGCATCAGTGAGACAGACAGCAAACTAAGACAGAGAGACAGAGACTATACACACAGTACCACTTATCGTCATCATTGAGATATGGAGATAGAAGAGGACATCTATGCCAATATAGAGGAGGTCTGTGTGAAAGGCTGTGATGATCTGGCTGCAGGTTATGAGACTTTACACCAGAGTCAACAAGCTGGAACAAGTATGTGTGTTTTACGGATTCTTACTGAGAGTTATCATGACTTGACTGACACACAGACACACACACACACACGTAAATATTGGTGATCGTAAATAAGAATGTGTAAACCAGACCTACTATAAGAGCTACTCTAAAGAGTCCAAAGACATGGCAGATTCACAAATAGGTGAAAGATCTGAGGGAATGGTGGATGTAATCTGGATGCTGTGGAATGTGCTGTAGAAATGGTGAAACTATATTGTGAAGAGACAACAGTGAAAATATGAATAACCTTTAGAGGGACACATTTAATTGATTTACACATTTCAAGCAAAACAAACAAGAATGTGAAAATCAAAACGATTTGATATTTTGAATCAGAAGCATTTTTAAAACATCTGAAACAGCTTTTTCCTGCAATCTAGAGCCATAATCATGTGTGCCCCCTATGGGCATGACACCTCTGGTTTGAAATTATTTTCAGTCATATGGAAGTGGGACCGAGTAGAGAACATAATTATTGTTGACCACAGCATCAATTCCTCTTGGTATCAGAGCAGCCTTAGTTTGTGAGGTAGAATAGAATAGATAGGATGAGGTCAGATGTTTGTAAGCACTTGTTTTTCTACACCTGCAGGACTGAAGCATGGGAATCAGAACTGTCAGCCTTACAAGCTGGCTACCGTTTCTCTGGGAATGCTGTGTGTGCTCTTGCTGACCTCAGTCATAAGTCTCTCTGTGCTCTGTGAGTATTCAACTCTTACAGGTGGGACTTTAGGGTGTGTGCATTTATGTGTGTGTAAGAAAGTTAACAAGAGACGGATAACAGCTCTCTCTTCCGTCACAGATGATGGAGGCTACAATCAACTGTCCCGAACTCTTTCTCTCCTAACAACCAACCACACCAAAGAGAAGAAAGAGCTTCAGACTAGTTATGGAAACCTGACTAAAGAGAAAGACCAGTTGGAGAGGGAGAGAAACCAGTTACAGATCAGTTATAACAGCTTGAGTAAAGACATAGACCAGTTACAAATGCGTTACAACACAATGACTAAAGAGAAAGACCAGTTACAAAGGACATTTTCAGAGCAGGAGAAAAAGATGACAGAAGAACTGGGTGAGTATCAATTCCATGATAATAACTGTGAATTTGAATGTATAATAATTGTTTTCTGTATGTATGACTATATTGATCACTGTACTTTCTTTCTGCAGGATGCTGTCCTGATGGTTGGAGGAGACTCGGATCAAGCTGTTATTACCTTTCAACAGAGAGTAAAACTTGGAGTGAGAGCAGAGCAGACTGTATAAGGGGAGGAGCAGACCTGGTGATCATAAACAGCAGAGAGGAACAGGTGAGAGAGCGGAGGAGCAGGAACAAAGGAGGAAATAACTACTGAGAGAGAGAAACAGAGAGAGAGACAGACACATACCAACTATGTTCTTTTCAGGTGTTTCTAAACAAACTGGGAAAAGATGTGCATTTCTGGATTGGTCTGACTGACTCAGACAAGGAAGGGATCTGGAAATGGGTGGATGGAACAACAGCAACAACAACAACAACAACAACAACGTGAGTAATATTTACCCCTATTCTTCTTGTAGTTAATTTTTTGAAGCGTATTGTTTCTTGTACTAATATCATGTTGATATCACTTTCTGCTGAACTGGTTCTTAGGTTCTGGAGCAGTGGAGAGCCAAACAATGCCGATGGGGAGGAGGATTGTGTGGTCTTCAACAGGTTCAGTGATCTGTCTTGGCACTGGGCAATTATTCAGAATTGGAATGACCAGCCTTGCACAGTGAATAATCAATGGGTATGTGAGAGCACACCTAAAGTGTCATAACATAACAAATCCGTCCACAAGGGGAGAATAATATCTGAATTCCCTTTTGAGTTAGCAATTGTATTATCACAGATTATTGTTGAAGTGTAATTTAAATCAATTATAACATTAGTTATGATTAGTAATTATTGTAGTTATGATTTGTAATGATTTAATTGATGTAATATAGAATTGCTTATAAAGAACCATTGTATTATGAAAGCACAACTCTAACTTGAAAGCTAATGTCGTGAATTGACATGCAGGGTCAAATCGAATCGAATCATCTAACAGTAAATCGTGAACAAGGCAAGTGCCATGCTTCAGTTTGTGTGTATTTCTTTGTCAGATGGGATGATAATTATAGGCTACTTACTAATTCATTTTAGCTCCTAGTGGATAATATTTAATACATATTTTGAAAGCTAACAGAACAGAAATGTTTTGAATTGTATTGTAAATTGCAGGTACATATTATAAATTGTTTTGAACAAAAGAGAAAATACAAGTGTTATGTTATTTTATTCCGCATTGAATATTATTGTGTTTCTTTATATGGATGTTGGGTAACATAACCCCCCCCCCCCCACCCCTCTCTCTCTCTCTCTCTCTCTCTCTCTCTCTCTCACACACACACACACACACTCACACACACACAGAGTGCATACACACTTATTTCACCTTCATTGCAGTTTGGACTGTAGTCACATTCAGAGCATCGATGAGACAGACAGCATACAAAGACAGAGACAGAGAGAGAGAGACTATACACACAGTACCAGTTATCATCATTATCGAGATATGGAGATAGCATAGGACATTATGCCAATGTAGAGGAAATCTGTGAGAAAGACTGTGATGATCTGGCTGCAGGTTATGAGACTTTACACCAGAGTCCACAGGCTGGAACAAGCAAGTGTGTTTACAGACAATAATGACTGAGAAGTACATTTTGATATGAGTACACTCCAACGTAAAGGTATTTAAATACATCCGAGTGAGGATAAAAGTCCCAAATCCCGACACCTCCGAATATTATCCACATGGGCCAAATAGCAATTTAAATCAGTATGATAAATGGTCCCCCTTGTTGTGCAACAAGGTCATCAACTAAAATACCATCCAGAGTGCTCCGAAATCTAATTCACATATAAACGGTGCGACAGTACTTTATTGTCCCACATCGGTCATAGAGCTGAGGGGATAGCAGATGAAAACAGTGGGCCTAAGGGGCAAAGTAGCTTTAAAATAAGTACTCTGGCTACAATATCAATATAAAGAAGTTTATTATCATCATTAATGAGAAACAGTGAGGCAATTAGTGGAAAGGGACGTAATTTTTGGAGGGACTTAAACATTTTCAAGCATTATCTTTAAATGTTTATATATAATTTGTATAGAAATGAGAGTAGAGGAGGACAGAAATACATTTTACCCAACTTTCTGTCCTGATGGGGTTGAAGACCACAAGACTCAGTTCCTCTTGGTATAAGAGCATTGGTTTGTGAGGTGATTGTAACCACTTGTTTCTCTACATCTGCAGGACTGAAGCATGGGAATCAGAACTCTCCTCCTTGGAGGCTGGCTACAATTTCTCTGGGCCTGCTGTGTGTTCTCTTACTGATCACAGTCATAAGCCTCTCTGTGCACTGTGAGTATTCAACGCACATGTTTGCCTGCATGTGTATTTATGTGTGTGTTTGTGAATGTGTGTGTATGTGTGTGCATGTGTGTGCAAAAAATATTGTTGGTGTGCGCTCTCTTCTCTTTTCAATCACAGATGATGAACCCTATAATGAACTGTCCAGACTCCAGACTTCATACAACAACCTGACTGAGGAGAAACTCCAGTTACAGAGGACAGTTTCAGAGCAGGAGAAGAAGATATCAGAGCTTGGTAAGTATGCTGTTGTAAGAATGTGAATGTAGGGGATTGAGTATGATATTATGATCAGTAGCAAATGTTCTGTATTATATAAATATGGTATATAACAATTGGTCTGTATACCTGAATTAGCTGTACTCATTCTCTTTCTATAGGACCCTGTCCTGATGGTTGGAGGAGAATCAGATGTAGTTGTTATTACTTGTCTAATAACAGTAAAACTTGGAGTGAGAGCAGACAAGACTGCAGAGAGAGAGGAGCAGACCTGGTGATCATAAACAGCAGAGAGGAACAGTTGTGTATGTGGGTGTGTGAGAGAGAGAGAGAGAGAGAGAGAGAGAGAGAGAGAGAGAGAGAGAGAGAGAGAGAGAGAGAGAGAGAGAGAGAGAGAGAGAGAGAGAGAGAGAGAGACTAAACTTACCGCTTTGTTGTGTGCAGAAGTTTCTAAACAAATTGGGGGAAAAAATGTATTTCTGGATTGGTCTGACTGACTCAGAGAAGGAAGGGATCTGGAAATGGGTGGATGGAACAACACCAACCACAACACAGTGAGTGAAATGCAGAGTAACATATCAATTACAATGCAGCAGGCACAGTAACCAATGATCACTAGTTTTTCCTCCTGGGTTGACTGTTAACTGAACTGGTTGGTTCTTAGATTCTGGAGAGAAGGAGAGCCAAATAATGCCCAGGGGGGTGAGAACTGTGCAGTCTTCAACAGCTTCAGCGATAACCTGGGAAATATACAATCATGGAATGACCAGCCTTGCTCATTGCTTATCCATTGGGTATGCAACTACACACCTAAAGTGTCCTCCTAATAGGCCTACACATCATGATGGCATCTGCCCACAGGAGAAATACTGAATTCCAAAAACTAAGCAGTGCATCTCCTACAAGTTGATGCTGACAAGGCCTGCCAGGAAAACGGATGACCCATAACACATGTAAAAAAGGCCCACTAATTAGCTAACGATTAAAATTAATGAAAGTTAAAATTGAATCTACGTCAGACGTTAATTCTTCAAGTCGGCTGTTTTGGCATGTGTTTTGGATAATCTGAATACCCTTTTGAATTTGCAATTGCGTTTAGATTTGCTCTTACATTAAGGTTAATCCTTCCTGCATTTCAGTAGTAGCACATATTGCTGTCACGACCTCCTCCGAAGCTGCCTCCTCTCCTTGTTCGGGCAGGCTTCGGCGTTCGTCGTCACCGGCCTTCTAGCCACTGCCGCTCCTCATATCTTCATTCCATTTGTTTTGTCTTGTTTATTACACACACCTGGTTCATATCCCCTCATCAGTACCTGTACAAGTGTTCCATCTGCCCCCTGGTCTTTGTGTGTGATTGTTTATTGTAGAGGAGATTATAGCTCGGTGGATCTTGATTCTATTGTGTATTGCTGGGTTATTCACCCGTCTGCCTTTATTTCCCAAGTGCGCCGTTTGTCCGCACTGGTGTGTATTACGCATTGCTGCGTACCTCTGTTTATTGATTAAACCATTTATTCCGTGATTTCCTCTCCTGCGTCTGACGCCGTCCAACATCACCCGCTACAATTGCAGAATAAATTAATAAAACTCTTTGCAAAACATTCCAGTTAACTATGACTAACATGCTCCCTCTACTGCCTAGAAAGGCATATAGAAGGTCATAGTGCAGAACATTACAGTATTAGGTAGAATTACTTAAGATTGCTTAAGAGAATTGATTGCGTTGTAATATGAGAATGCAAGTAACCTGAAAGCTGATGCGACATGTAGGTTCAGTCATAATCTAACCATCCAACAGTGGCTTCAACTGTGAACAAGACAGCTGCTTTAAACTGATAATTTCTTTGTCAGATGGAATGATTTTACAAATAAACATTTTGGAAGCTAAGAGATCAGCCATCTTTGAATTTATTGTATCGTGCACACTGACAAAAGTATTGATAATTTTAGCTTTTTCATGTGCTTTTTTAGAAATCTGGGTTGTGTTGTCAAAATAGAAAACACTCATGCTCAATATTTTTTATATAATAATGTCACTTAATCAAATTACGATATTCTATCAATAACTATAATTATGTGAACCAGAGCTTGGTCAGCGACCTAGCCACTGACCATTCTTGACCATTTTCCCTATGGATCCCAGGCTTGAGCCAATCTATTTGTGTGGCTATTTTGAATACAATATAGAAATTGTCCAGTATTTTATTCACCTCAATTGAACAAAATACAATTATGTTTTTTTACATGAATATTGGTGAAAATAATCCTTCTCTCTCCTCTCTCTCTCTCCTCTCTCTCTCCTCTCTCTCTGTCTCTGTCTCTGTCTCTCTCTCTCTCTCTCTCTCTACATAATAGAGTGCATACACACTTTGTTCACCTCCTTTCATTTGGACTGTGGAACTGAATCATTCAGAGCATCAGGTTGAGACAGGAGACATACTAGGGAGAGAGACGACGAGGACTATAGACTACACAGTATACATTATACACCAGTTGTATCATTGAGTATGGAGATAGAAGAGGGCCAATTTATGCACAATGTAGAGGAGGGTCAGTGTTGAAAGGGCTATTGATGATCTGGCTGCAGGATATGAGGACTTTACACCAGAGTCCAACAAAGGCTGGAACAAGTAAGTGTGTTTACAGATTCTTACACACATCTATTTTTTCATTAAAGTTACTTTGCAGTACCACTCCAACGTAAAGGTATTAATACCTAAGAGTGAGGATGAAAGCTCAGATCCAGACACTCCCCGAATATTCTCCACATGGGCCAAATAGCATTTAAATCAGTTAGGAGAAAGGTCCCCCTTGTTGTGCACATGTCTCATCCGATTCAGCTGGGGAATCAACTTAAAATACAAATCCAGAGTGGTCCGAAATCTAATTCACATATTAACGGTGCGACAGTACTTTATTGTCCCACAGCGGTCATAGAGCTGAGGGGATAGCAGATGTAAACAGTCGGCCTTAGGGGCAAAGTAGCTTTAAAATAAGTACTCTGGCTACAATATCAATATAAATAAGTTTATTATCATCCTTAATGAGAAACAGTGAGGCAATTAGTGGAAAGGGACGTAATTTTTGGAGGGACTTTTTAAATGTTTATATGTAATTTGTATAGAAATGAGAGTAGAGGAGGACAGAAATACATTTTACCCAACTTTCTGTCCTGATGGGGTTGAAGACCAAAAGACTCAGCTCCTCTTGGTATAAGAGCATTGGTTTGTGAGGTTTATGTAACCACTTGTTTCTCTACATCTGCAGGACTGAAGTGTGGGAATCAGAACTCTCCTCCTTGGAGGCTGGCTACAGTTTCTCTGGGCCTGCTGTGTGTTCTCTTACTGATCACAGTCATAAGCCTCTCTGTGCACTGTGAGTATTCAACGCACATGTTTGCCTGCATGTGTATTTATGTGTGTGTTTGTGAATGTTTGTGCATGTGTGTGCATGTGTATGCAAGAACGAGTGAGACAAAAAAAGATTGTTGGTGTGCGCTCTCTTCTCTTTTCAATCACAGATGAAGAACCCTACAATGATATAACTGTCCAGACTCCAGACTTCATACAACAACCTGACTGAGGAGAAACTCCAGTTGCAGAGAACAGTTTCAGAGCAGGAGAAGAAGATATCAGAGCTTGGTAAGTATGCTGTTATAAGAAAGTGAATGTAGGGGATTGAGTATGATATAATGATCAATTTCAATTGTTCTGTATTATATAAATATAGAATATAATAATTGGTTGTATACCTGAATTAGCTGTACTCATTCTCTTTCTATAGGACCCTGTCCTGATGGTTGGAGGAGAATCAGATGTAGCTGTTATGACTTCTCTAATAACAGTAAAACTTGGAGTGAGAGCAGACAAGACTGCAGAGAGAGAGGAGCAGACCTGGTGATCATAAACAGCAGAGAGGAACAGTTGTGTATGTGGGTGTGTGAGAGAGAGAGAGAGAGAGAGAGAGAGAGAGAGAGGAGAGAGGAGAGAGAGAGAGAGAGAGAGAGAGAGAGAGGAGAGAGAGAGAGAGGGAGAGAGAGGAGAGAGAGAGGACTAAACTTACCGCTTTGTGGTATGCAGAAGTTGCTAAACAAATTGGGGGGGGGGGGGGGGGGGAAATGCATTTCTGGATTGGTCTAACTGACTCAGAGAAGGAAGGGATCTGGAAATGGGTGGATGAAACAACACGAACCACAACACAGTATGTGAAATGCAGAGTAACATATCAATTACAATGCAGCAGGCACAGTAACCAATAATCACTTGTTTTTCCTCCTGGGTTGACTGTTAACTGAGCTGGTTGGTTCTTAGGTTCTGGAGAGAAGGAGAGCCAAATAATGCCCAGGGGGGTGAGAACTGTGCAGTCTTCAACAGCTTCAGCGATAACCTGGGAAATATACAATCATGGAATGACCAGCCTTGCTCATTGCTTATCCATTGGGTATGCAACTACACACCTAAAGTGTCCTCCTAATAGGCCTACACATCATGATGGCATCTGCCCACAGGAGAAATACTGAATTCCATTGCAAAAAAAACTAAGCAGTGCATCTCCTACAAGTTGATGCTGACAAGGCCTGCCAGGAAAACGGATGACCCATAACACATGTAAAAAAGGCCCAGTAATTAGCTAACAATTAAAATTAATGAAAGTTAAAATTGAATCGCCAATTTGTAAGTCGCTCTGGATAAGAGCGTCTGCTAAATGACGAAAATGTAAATGTAAATCTACGTCAGTCGTTAATTCTTCAAGTCGGCTGTTTTGGCATGTGTTTTGGATAATCTGAATACCCTTTTGAATTTGCAATTACGTTTAGATTTGCTCTGACATTAAGGTTAATCCTTCCTGCATTTCAGTAGTAGCACATATTGCTGTCACGACTTCCTCCGAAGCTGCCTCCTCTCCTTGTTCGGCCAGGCTTCGGCGTTCGTCGTCACCGGCCTTCTAGCCACTGCCGCTCCTCATATCTTCATTCCATTTGTTTTGTCTTGTTTATTACACACACCTGGTTCATATCCCCTCATCAGTACCTGTACAAGTGTTCACTCTGCCCCCTGGTCTTTGTGTGTGATTGTTTATTGTAGAGGAGATTATAGCTCGGTGGATCTTGATTCTATTGTGTATCGCTGAGTTATTCACCCGTCTGCCTTTATTTCCCAAGTGCGCCGCTTGTCTGCACTGGTGTGTATTACGCATTGCTGCGTACCTCTGTTTATTGATTAAACCATTAATTGCGTGATTTCCTCTCCTGTGTCAAACGCCGTCCATCATCACCCGCTACAATTGCAGAATAAATTAATAAAACTCTTTGCAAAACATTCCAGTTAACTATGACTAACATGCTCCCTCTACTGCCTAGAAAGGCATATAGAAGGTCATAGTGCAGAACATTACAGTATTAGGTAGAATTACTTAAGATTGCTTAAGAGAATTGATTGCGTTGTAATATGAGAATGCAAGTAACCTGAAAGCTGATGCGACATGTAGGTTCAGTCATAATCTAACCATCCAACAGTGGCTTAAACTGTGAACAAGACAGCTGCTTTAAACTGATCATTTCTTTGTCAGATGGAATGATTTTACAAATAAACATTTTGGAAGCTAAGAGATCAGCCATCTTTGAATTTATTGTATCGTGCACACTGACAAAGGTATTGATAATTTTAGCTTTTTCATGTGCTTTTTTAGAAATCTGCGTTGTGTTGTCAAAATAGAAAACACTCATGCTCAATATTTTTTATATAATAATGTCACTTAATCAAATTACGATATTCTATCAATAACTATAATTATGTGAACCAGAGCTTGGTCAGCGACCTAGCCACTGACCATTCTTGACCATTTTCCCTATGGATCCCAGGCTTGAGCCAATCTATTTGTGTGGCTATTTTGAATACAATATAGAAATTGTCCAGTATTTTATTCACCACAATTGAACAAAATACAATTATGTTTCTTTACATGAATATTGGGGAAAATAATTATCTCTCTCTCTCTCTCTCTCTCTCTCTCTCTCTCTCTCTCTCTCTCTCTCTCTCTCTCTCTCATACATAGAGTGCATACACACGTTTGTCACCTCATTTCAATTTGGACTGTGGACTGAATTCATTCTCAGAGCATCAGTGAGACAGGAGACAAACAGGGAGAGAGAGACAGAGACTATAGAGTTACACAGTATACATTATACACCAGCTGTTATCATTGAGATATGGAGATAGAAGAGGACATCTATGCCAATGTAGAGGAGGTCAGTGTGAAAGGCTGTGATGATCTGGCTGCAGGTTATGAGACTTTACACCAGAGTCCACAAGCAGTAACAAGTAAGTGTGTTTACAGATTCTTACACACATCTTAATGTATTTATTAAGTTTACTTTGCAGGACAATGCACAAAAAAAACCATAAGTCTGAGAGGAACCGAGAAATGATGCGTCACACCATATTTAGTTAATTGCTACTTTCCATCTGTAGTCCCTGGGCAGGTGAACATCTAATCATGGAAATATTCTATACAAAACTGACAACATAAATACATCAGACATTATAAAAACAGTGATCAGGACATAGGGACATTTATCAACACAGACGTCAACACATTGCACTGAGAAAGTGAAACACATTGCTGTTGCACAGAAATTGAAATATATGTGTACTCAAATTAAAGATGTATTACAAATGGAGGGGACATGGAGGGGACATATTGCTAACACTAACATACTGTGATGAGGTGATGTTGAAGGAGTCAGGCGCAGGAGGGTTACGCAGCAAGGCGTCAAAAACGCTCCAATGCGCAAAACATGCGCACTGGAAAATACAAGGCACACAGGAAAATATCCTGGCGATACAAAATACACGAAGCTCCACCGAGCTTGACTATCCTCCACAATAAACAATCACACACAAAGACAAGGGGGCAGAGGGAACACTTTTACAGGTACTGATGAGGGGATATGAACCAGGTGTGTGTAATAAACGAGTCAATATCACTATGAGGTGCCTTTGGTGTCCTCATCAGACTCACTCAGTCATCATGAAAATGTAGCAGAATAATGAAAGTCTGAGGTCTTATTATAAGTGGCCAAACATTTGCACACATATCAGTAGAATGATAAGTCTCTAAAAAAGTGTTTCCTTCATTTTATTAATTTTTTTTAATTGGATGTACGTGATTTTGGCATGTCCCACACACTGCTCTGCTAACTACAGTGTGTGTAATAAGTGGTTAAATGATACTAAATCCAATTTTTTTTTACATGGTTTTACTGTCCACAATAAGTTATTTGATAAAACAAGTAATTTTTATCATGTATATTGTATTTTCATAATCATATTGAACATTTTGCATGTGTCCCTGAAATTGCTGTCCACCCTGTCATTATGGGGTAACTGCCCCTTTAAGAAACCCACTGATGTTTTCAGTGACATCACTACGAGCATTTTGTCTTTCTTCAATGAAGGCTGAAGCAGTGTCTAGTTGCAGAGTAAGTATTTACACTTATGTTTCATAATTTTCATCATATTATGTGTGTAGTTGGATGTTGTCAAGCTTATCATGTCCACTCTGTCATAGTGAAATATCAATTGATAGAAAAACCTATCAGAACTTTGAAATATATTTGTAAAACAGTACACAGTCAGTTTGCTAACTGTAGTATGTTGCTAAGTGAAGGTCCACCATGTGCTCATTAAATGCTAACATTAGCCAAAAATGTCCACCCTGTCATTGTCCATCCTGTCAGCAAGCCTTCCATGACAGGGTGGACATGGTTCATGACAGGAAGGACATGTGCATAGTTTAGGCCACATACTGATAATGTTACACATATTACAACAGCTATTACACACATTTTATAACAGTACATGCTATACATAGTAAGAATGGACAATATGGACAATTTCTTTGGCGATATCGGTATCAGCAAACCTAGTTTGATAATGCAAGCCTAGTTTACCGGGACTGCCAATTAAAGTGTGTAAGGGAACATTTTGAATCGTCTTTTTCAAGGAATGAGATCAAAAGGAGCTGAGATAGCAAGGAGATATCGGGAACGTCGTGATGCTGACCCAGACAGAAGAAGAAAGTACCTTGAGAAAGAAAGGGTCAAATGGAAAAAAGACAGAGAGACTGGAAAGAAGAAGGGTGTCAATGAGCTCAGTGAGAGAGAGAAGAGGGCAAAAATAAAGAAATGGAGAGAGGCAAAAAGTCAAGCCAGAGCCAGAAACAGGGCCAGTGCTTTGCTACAGTCAGAGACACCATCCAACTCCCCTGCTGAAACTCCTGAAAATCAGCATGAGCCAGGGCCCTCCAGATTAGATCATTGGAAGTTTAACTGATGAGACTTATTAGAAAGTTTAGATTTATTTGAAGGACAATTATCAACTGTTTATGTCCCCATAAAATGACATATTGATAACTAACTTGCTAAAAAAAATCCTTACAAATATTTTGTGTTTTGTGTGGAACAGCAACTGCAGAACTGAGCCATGTCTCTGCAGAAAGGGAGAGACTGTTTGGAGATGCGTCCAAGTGATCTTTCTGTAATATTCTGTTTTTTCAAATCAACTGTTCTCCACTTAAAAAACATTTTTCTTCTTGTTCTACAGTTGAATGTTTGACTTTCACTGTGCAGAATGATGTACAGAGTTTAACGCTAGAAGGCCACATTAATGTCTCATTTTGGGCATCTTTATTCAGTGGCTGCATGCAGGTAGAGTGGATCAAAAACAGTCTGTTCAACTTGTAATTTCCCCCTACATGGGAAAAGGCATTTTTTACATCATTTTCTTGCATTGTTCCTTGCATTTATGAGGCCATTCAATGACATTTCACAACGTGTCCACCCTGTCATGCCCAGGGTCCACCCTGTCATGTCACTGTCCACTCTGTTATTTTCATGTTCTATGAAAATAAACAAATTATTTTCACAAGTTAGCAAAATCTTTTGTGTGATTCCTTTATAAACAAATGAGGGCCAAATAGTATTGTTTGAAAGTTTGACCAGATATCTTTTTTGTTAGATTTTATTTAGAAAAGAAAGTGCAACTCTCACAGATTTTATAGAGAAACAAATAGTTTGCCATAATTTCATTATTATCCAAATACTTTTCCCATAAACTAAAATATATTGTTGAGAAAGTGACTAAATCGTTTTCTGAAAATGTACGTTTTATAATCACTATGTAATTACAATGTATTTATTCTGCTTTGAAATTGTCCATGACAGGGTGGACAAATTTTGCTGTTTGCATGTAAATTGTCTGCTTGCAGTTAATTTATAAAAAGTGTGGGAGCTTGACCAATATGCATTTCTAACAGCATAACATATACTTAATAAAATGAATATGAAGTTCAATGGAAAATCTCAGCTTTTTGGGGGGGAAATGGGGAAGTCTCAAAGGCACCTTATGGTGATATTGACCCAAACAAGACAAAACAAATGGAATGATGAGATGAGGAGCAGCAGTGGCTAGAAGGCCGGTGACGACGACCGCCGAAGCCTGCCCGAACAAGGAGAGGAGGCAGCTTTGGAGGGAGTCGTGACACATACTGCTAATACTAAAGGCATGTATAATATTATCACCTGTTATAAGTATGTATGAAACGCTGCAAACGCTGCAATGTTTCTTAAATCAACAAATCAATCATAATCATGTTCAATATCATCATACATTGTCTTTCTATGTCGTAATGACACATTTCACACAAAACTAATTCCTTTTAAATTGGAACCAAATTATTTCATGGAAATAGTAGTAGAGGAGGACAGAATTGGTGTTACTTTCTGTCTGTGTGTGGCTGAAGACCACAGCATCAGTTCATCTTGGTATCAGAACAGCATTGGTTTATAAGGGAGAAACTGGTCAGCTGGAAAGACTAAGATAGATACAGTAGGACCAAGTCAGGTGTATGTTACATTTGCTTCTCTACACGTGCAGGACTGAAACTTGGGAATCAGAACTGTCAGCCTTACAGACTGGCCTTAGTTTCTCTAGGACTGCTGTGTGTTCTCTTGCTGACCGCAGTCATAAGTCTATCTGCACACTGTGAGTATTCAACAATCACAGGTGGTAGGGTGTGTGTGTGTGTGTGTGTGTGTAACAAAACATAAAATGATACATTTGTTCTCTGTTCCATCACAGATGGCAATGACTACAATCAACCATACTTCAGAGAAGGAAGAACTTCAGACTAGTTACGAAAACCTGACTAAGGAGAGAGACCAGCTGGAGACTTCTTTCAACGCCTTGAATAAAGACAGAGACCAGTTACGGACCCATTTTAACACCTTGATTGAAGATAAATACCAGTTACAAAGGAAAATGTCAGTGCTGGAAATAAATGTTTCAGAAGAAGTGGGTGAGTATGTATGTTGCGCTAATAACTGTGAATTTGAGTTGATGTGAAAAAATTATAATGATATATTGAAGTTATATGACTGTATTAACCAATATGCTCTCCTTCTGCAGAATAATGTCCTGTCAGTTGGAGGAGATTCAAGTCTAGCTGTTATTACCTCTCTTATGAGAAGAAAACCTGGAGTCAGAGAAGAGCATAATGTAATAATAGAGGAGAGGACCTTGTGATCATAAACAGTAGAGACAAACAGGTGAGAGAGAAGGTGAAAGAGAGGGAGAGAGACAGATACAGACAGACAGAGATAATAAACATACTAACTATGTTTCCCCCAGGTGTTTCTGAATAAATTGGCTAATAGTCGGAAGTTCTGGATTAGTCTGACTGAGTCAGTGAAGGAAGGGACCTGGAAATGGGTAAATGGAACAACTCTAATTGCAACAAAGTGAGTAAAATACAGATGGATCTTGTAGATACTTGTTTATTGTACTAAATGCTGAAGACTTAATATAATGTCCCTCTAAACTTGTTGGCTCTTAGGTTCTGGCAACAAGAACAGCCAAATAATCATCTGGGTAGTGAGGATTGTGTGGTCTTTAACAATACTTTCAATACTTCACCCTACTTGGGATCTATTCAGTCATGTGAATAACAAGCGTTGCTCACAGACTAATCAATGGGTATGCGAAGGCACATTGAAAGTGTCATAATGTACGATAACATCCTTTCACTATATGAAAATATAATGCAATGACCTTTTGAGTTAGCAATAGCTTTAGCATAGATTCTTGACTAAAATCTAATTTGAATAATAACATAATAATCGACATCAGTACATTTGATTTTGGTTTTATTGATGTAATAGAATGGCAATTAGTAGTGCAATTGTAATATTATAGCTAATGTAGTATGTACAAGTTAAATGCACAATCTTTAAACTATAATTTCGTTAATGTCAGATGTGATAATATTACACACATACACTGAGTGTACAAAACATTATGAACACCTGCTCTTTGCATGACATAGACTGACCAGGTGAATCCAGGTGAAAGCTATGATCCCTTAATGGTGTCACTTGTTTAATCCACTGCAATCAGTGTAGATGAAGGGGAGGAGACAGGTTAAGAAGGATTTTTAAGCCTTGAGACAATTGAGACATGGATTGTGTATGTATGCAATGCTACTGGGTTTTTTATGATCAACAGTTTCCCGTGTGTTTCAAGAATGGTCCACCACCCAAAGGACATCCAGCCAACTTGACACAACTGTGGGAAGCATTGGAGTCAACATGGGCCAGCCTCCCATGCCCCAATTAATTGAGGCTGTTCTTAGAGCAAAAGGGGGGTGCAACTCAATATTAGGAAGGTGTTCCTAATGTTTTGTACAGTCAGTGTACATTTAAAAAGCTAAGAGAACAGTAGTGAGTGAATTAATTGTATCCTACATTCTTGTATTATCGTATCCTATTTATTCAAAAAATAAATGCATTGATTGTTAATTTGCTCATGTGATTTTTTTTGTTTGTTGCATATACGTATTTGTAAGTCTGTCACCATATGAAATACAACCACGATTTTTTAAGTTATACTAATTAAGTTATGGCATGTACAGTATATATTTTTCTGGCCTTTGGGAAACCAACTCACAAGGATTGGGAGAGAGTGAGTGTGGGTAATGTTGGCCAATTCACGTGTGGGCGTAGAGTTGAGGGTCAGTGCACGCTGGGTCAAACAGTAGTTGAATCACAATAGTCTCCTTTCCTTCATCTGAATTCATGTGGTTAAAAAACAGGAACTGCTGAAAGCAAATACATACACAATATTACTTTCACGTATCCCATGTTTCAGATCAGTGCATTTGAAGCAGAGGAGAGGAAGCAACTGATGACTATTGAGATACACCCGGTGAAGGAGGTTGGCTTCAAGAGAGAGTTTGCATCTGTGGGTAGTCTACACTAGCGTCCGACCCAGGACAAGGTCAAATCATTCATTTATTGTAAGGTGATTTCTGTGAAGCCGTTTGTGTCAGAGCCTGACTTAACAGGATAGACCTAAACTGTCAGCTAAAACAATCTGGGACTGGGACTGGACAAAGAGAGGACAGAGATCCGGTATGGACACACATTTGATGGCACACACACACCAATGGATAATAATCAGAAAACACAATCTTTTTCAATTATCTGTTTTAAAGTCAATATGAAATTTAACTGAATTATATACACATTAGTTTGTGTTTCAACTCCACATTAGGTGATTAACCTCATGTTCTAGAAGTTATGACTGACTGCAAATTACGCAGCATTGGGGTTTGCGTGATCGTGGCCAAATCTATGTGCACGAGTACGTACACAGGGAGAGGCTGCGACGCACAGCTTGCCACAACTTTTAAGAACATGCAATTTATTATTACGTGTGACTAGGTGCAAGGTCCATTGACGTACATTTTAATCTTGCCTTCAAAGTTACATAAAACGTTATTGTGCACTATTTACAGTAAAGCTAATGCAGACTTGAAAACACACATAGTCCCGAGCAGGGTTCTTATGACAATGTTTCAGTTTGGTTTCCTTGCATGGCAGTCCCTCTCTCTCACCTCTTACCTAGGCAACAATCAGTCATGTGAATAATCAGTCTATCACAGTCACAGACTAGTCACCACCTCTTCTGAAAGTAGTGGAGAGGCCGGCCACTCACCATAAATAAGGTACTAACTTTAACGTGTGTGTGTCTGTGTGTAAGTTTATGTATGCGCAGTGCTTGACTCATTTTGGGTGCTGGTACTGTGGTGCAGGTGCTCCCCAATACTTTTGAGCAAATATTCTATAAGAGGAACAGGAGCTCAAGCACTGGATGTCTGTGTGTGTGTGTGTGTGTCCATGCTTGCGTGTGTTTAGGGTTTTTCAATGCAGCAGTGTGTTGTGAACATTACTATCTGGTGGTGGGTGTTATTAGCAACATACTTGTTTGAAAAAGTCAAACGTTTCTTGATATTGGTTTTACTAATCCACTTTGATGCCTTAATATCACTCCCCCATTCTCCCTGTCTCTGTCTCTCTAGCATTTTCTCTCTGTCCCTCTCTCTCTCTCTCTCTCTCTCGCTGTCTCTCCAACCCCCCTTCTATCTCTCTATCCCTACAGTTCAAGATGGTGCGGTCTGTCAGAGAAGAAGGTAGTCGGCTCAGCACCATACAAGACCTTAAGGACTTTGGCTTCGGCCGTCCTTCCCCCCGACAAGGACTCAAGCTCCTCTTCTGGTTCGCCAACGAATGCGTGGCGTTCAATCACCATAGCAAAATGCTGGTACAGTGCCACCCTGAGAGAGGCGACTTCGGCTTCCACTACTTTGGCAACTTCGAGGAGATTCTCCCAGTTCTATTGCGAGACCACAGGGAAAGCTACTTCGAGGTGGGCAACCTGAACACAGAGACCTATTCCAAAGCCAAGGACCTACCGGACTATGCGAGACAGGAATACGGGCTATCCCTGGGATACCGCTGATGCAACAAGGACCGCATCATCATCAGGCTGAGGCAGGGGGACGTGACAGCCACCTATGTCACCGAGCACAAGGGAGTTTGACTCCGAACGCACCCACCTTGTAAATCTGGATTTGATCCGCATCATCTGGGACCCTGAGCTGGAGCTTGCGACATTCCTGGACCAGACGGGCTACATGGGGCTGTTGCTGAGAGAGTGCCTCCTCAGAGCTTTCAAGGTCTTCATCTTGTTTGTGGTCTTCCTGGTGATCACTTCTATCATTTTGAGCATCTTAGGGAAGTTGTAGAGACAGGAGTCTGATGTTAGCCATTGTGCGTTTATAGGTTAAGTACATAGGTAATTTGCCATAGTGTTTTGGTTAGATAGGTCATAAGCCCAGTAAATACAATAGTTATTTTATTTTATAAATAGTCAAATAGTTATGTTTCAAATAGTATGTTATTAGGTCTATTTGTAATAGATTATATATATTTTTTTATTTTTTATTTTTTATTTAACCTTTATTTAACCAGGAAGGGCTCATTGAGATTTAAAATCTCTTTTTCAAGAGCGTCCTGGCCAAGATAGGCAGCACCAAGTCATTACAAAAAATTACAGACAGACAACATGAAAAACTACAAGTAATCTAGTAAAAAACCATTCATGAATTCACAAGAGTATAACAATATCAAAAACAGCAAATTAAAAACATTGACAGGTCAGGGAATCAGCCTCAAAATCCTTCATCAGAGATTTAAAAACACCAATCGGGACAAGTTCTTCCAGTTTAAAATTATTTTGTAAGGTGTTCCAAGACGATGGCGCAGAGTACATAAAAGACCTTTTACCAAATTCAGTTCTGACATTTGGAACAGTTAGCAGGATAAAGTCCAGTGAACGAAGAGAGTACCCACCACATTTCTGAACAATAAAAATGCCCAAATAAAAAGGTAGTAAACCCAAAATGGCTTTGTAAATAAAAGTATACCAGTGACTGAGCCTACGAGTGACTAGAGAAGGCCAGCCAACCCTGGTATGCAAAGTACAGTGGTGCGTAAGGGTTTTGCAGTTTAAAATAAATCTCAAAGTACCATGATAAAGAGTGTCAATTGATCTCAAACACTGAGCGGAAGCATTCATATATAAAATATCCCCATAATCTAGTAAAGGCATAAATGTAGCTGATACTAGCCTCCTTCTGGCTTCAAAAGAAAAACAGGCCTTATTCCTAAAATAAAATCCCAATTTCAGCTTCAATTTTTTTGTAAGTTGTTGAATATGCAATTTAAAAGAGAGGCCGTCATCAATTAGAATTCCAAGATATTTATATGAGGTTACAACCTCAATCTCCTTGCCCTGACAGGTAATAACAGGTGAAAGGTTCATAGGTCTATTTATTGCATTAGAAAACACCATTAGTTTAGTTTTGTCAGTGTTGAGGATAAGCTTCAATTGACACAAGGTATGTTGAACAATATAAAAAGCAGTTTGCAAGTTCTGGAAAGCTTTTGTAAGAGATGAGGCACAACAGTAAATAACAGTATCATCAGCATAAAAATGAAGGTTGTGCATTTTGGACATTTTTGTCTAAATCATTAATATAAATAGTGAATAAGAGAGGACCAAGTACAGAGCCCTGGGGCACACCATTCAGGACAGACAATTTAACAGACATAAGCCCATCAAATTGAGTGCACTGAGTTCTATCAGACAGATAGTTAGCAAACCATGCAACTGCATGCTCCGAAAGACCTACACTCAACAATCTCTGCCTTAGTATAGCATGATCAACTGTATCAAAAGCCTTAGAGAGATCAATAAAAAGTGAGACACAGTGCTGTTTTTTGTCAAGGGCTTCAGTGATATCATTTAAAACCTTCATGGCTGCTGTAATTGTGCTATGCTTCTTCCTGAAGCCCGATTGATACATTGATAAAATAGAGTTAGTAAATAAAAACTCTTTTAGCTGTTCACTTACAAGGGTTTCAAGTATTTTCACCAGGGGTGACAGCTTTGAGATTGGCCTATAATTATTTAAAAGAGTTGGATCTCCCCCTTTTAAAAGTGGTAGGACAAATGCTGATTTCCAGATCTTTGGAATTTCATTACATTCCAGGGTTAGATTGAACAGATATGTAAGTGGTTCAGCTATGAAATCAGCTGCCAGATTTAAAAAGCAGGGATCCAAAAGATCAGGACCTGCAGGCTTTCTTTGATCTAAGGATTTCAGGGCTTTATGTACCACCTGCACTGAGAATGGCAGAAAACTAAAAGTTTGACCAGCTCTCACTGGTTCATCCACACAGGGTTGTACAGAGACAGAGGACACTGGTTCATCCACACAGGGTTGTACAGAGACAGAGGACACTGAATCAAACAGCCTACCAGATGATACAAAGTGCTCATTGAAACAATTCAGCATTTCAGTTTTGTCATATATAGCAACAGAGTCCTTCAAAACACATGACGGTAATTCATTAACATTACTGTTACCAGACATAGACTTAATAGCATTCCAAAACTTTCTAGGGTCATTCAGGTTATCAGTGGTAACAGACATAAAATATTCAGACTTGGCCTTCCTGAGAAGAAAAGAACACTTGTTTCTTAACTGCCTAAAAATAAGCCAATCAGCATCAGAACAAGATTTCCTTGCTTTAGCCCAGGCTAGATTACGGTCGTGAATAATACAAGACAGCTCAGAAGAAAACCATGGATTATCCCGCCCTTTAACCCTGAACCTGCGGAATGGTGCATGTTTGTTTACTATTTGGAAAAAACCATCATGAAAGAATATCCAGGCAGTTTCCACATCAGGGATAAGCTCAATCTTGCTCCAGTCAAAATAAAACAAATCATGAAAGAAAGCCTGCTCATTAAAACACTTCAAATTTCTCTTACGAATAAAACGTGGATTTGTCTTTGGAACCTTAGTATTTCTAACAGCAACAACAGCACAATGGTCACTTAAATCATTACAAAAAACACCAACCGCAGAATATTTATGTGGAACATTTGTCAATATCAAATCAATCAGGGTAGATTTATCAGGGCATTTAAGATTTGGGCGAGTGGGTGAATTAATCAACTGGGTAAGATTCATAGAATTACAAAACATTTTTAAATCATCAGACACCGGCTTTAACCAACACCAGTTGAGATCACCAATCAAGATCATTTCACTGTAAAGAAGTTTAGACATAAGGTGCGTCAAAGAAGAAAATGCATCACCAAGAGCAGAGGGGGGTCTATAACAGCCAATCACAGTTATAGAGAGGCCCTTTGAAACCTCAATATTCAAAGCAAGAAATTCCAATTGTTTACAAATAGTTTCAGACTTTGCCACACTTACATGGAATTTAGATTTTACATATATAGCCACACCCCCACCTTTCTTAACCCGATCTGTACGATAAACATTGTAACCACTTATACAAATATCCTTATCAAAAATAGACTTGCTGAGCCAGGTTTCCGAAAACACAATTACATCAGCATCAGTTGATTTAGCCCAAATCCTAACCCCATCAATTTTTGACAACAGGCTGCGTACATTTAAATGAAAAATACCAAAACCAGATCTAGATTTAAAATCAGAGGGGGTTTGGAGACATTGCATATCAGGGCCAGGGTTAGGTTGCACGTTACCTGATATCAACAACAGAAGAATAACTAGGCACCTCTGTTTAATAACCTTGCACGGCTTCTCTTTTTTAAGAGACCTACTGCAAGCGAATTCTACAAGTGAGTTTCCAGACAATACAAAACAGTCATTTAAAACCATTAGACTTTGGTAGTGACACAAATTCGTACTGTTCACATCATGCCACAAATACATCGGCACTTGGACGAGTGGACCGAGTGAAAAAGAGCGAGTTCCTGCAGACAAAATGTCTAATGGACGCGAGAGTACATTTTCAGATGTACTCACCCTGCGACAATGTTCGTTTTCTCCAGAGTTCAATAAAGTCAGTGCACAAAGCAATACCACGTAAATTGTCATTTTCTCTGACCAAAAAACAAGAGGCCAACGAAGGTAAGTGGAGAGAGGGACAGCGTGTATGTGAGTCAATGTGAGTGTTTGCGCGTGTGAGTAGATTGGGTGTTGAGGGCGATAGAGAGAACGGGTTGAGCTGCCACTGACAGCCAGGCGAAGAGCAAGGAGCAGCTCGGACAAGACACTCCGCACACCAACGAGGAACTCAGGCCAGCCAGAGATAGGGTTACTTTGGTAAACTTCAAGTAATGAAGTTCCGAGTTGAGGAGGACCCGTGATCTTTACACCAGCAAAAATAAAATAGTTTGCACTACGCAACAACGAAGTTACGCAACCATAAATAAATAGATTATTAGTAGGTTAAAATGTACTAGTCACAAACAAACGACTTGACAAACGACTTGACATGCTGCCATCTTGGATTTCGTGTATATCGGCCTTCTGTTTAAAAACATGAATTTACATGAATGAAAACTTTTTTTCTGTGATTATTTTGAATAAAAATCAAAGAAGAAAAGAAGACTAATTAGCCAATGTCTCTTGCTGTTGTTTCATTATAACAAAAATCGGATGTCATCTCAGGGGAGTATGACTCCGAACCCCCAGAACGATCAGGTCCGGACCAGAACACCTGGGACGATTTGGTTCGGACCACTTGGGATCCGGAGCAGCACCAGACTATCGCTGAGACAAAGGTTCACCAGAGTCTTTGTAGTCATGCTAGTGGTCCTCCTGGTCATCACTTTGATCGTTTTGGTCATCTTAGGGAAGTTGTAGAGATAGCAGTTATTGTAGTTGTTGTGCTGCTGTTGGTCCATCAGGGTTGGGGTCAATTCTATTTCAATTCAGTCAATTCAGGAAGTAAACTGAAATTCAAATTTTTCCTAACGGTAAAGTTTTGAGAAATTATTGAATTGAAATGGAATTGATCCCAACCCTGAGGTCCATAGATCATTTCTCAGGGGTAAATAAAATAGTTTTATTATGTTTTATGATTATGTTAACTCAATACTTATAGCACATTACTCTTGTATGTCTTTCTACACTCACACTCGCACTTGTCTTTTCTCACTGGCACTGATTTTGCGCAGATTTTCCTTCCAAAGACTGTGATATGTGGTTGTCTTTACCTTCCATAGTCGAATGCACTGAATGTAAGTCGCTTTGGATAAGAGTGTCTGCTAAATTACTAAAATGTGAAATGTAATGTAATGTTTTAAAATATTTTTGTAATCGATAAGATATTATCAGATTTTTTATGTGACAATTTAGAATAAAATAAAAAGAAGACAAGTTGAATAAGACAAGGGCGCAGAGGGAACAATTTTACAGGTACTGATGAGGGGATATGAACCAGGTGTGTGTAATAAACAAGACAAAACAAATGGAATGATGAGATGAGGAGCAGCAGTGGCTAGAAGGCCGGTGACGACGACTGCCGAAGCCTGCCCGAACAAGGAGAGGAGGGAGTCGTGACACATACTGCTAATACTAAAGGCATGTATAATATTATCACCTGTTATAAGTATGTATGAAACGCTGCAAACGCTGCAATGTTTCTTAAATCAACAAATCAATCATAATCATGTTCAATATCATCATACATTGTCTTTCTATGTCGTAATGACACATTTCACACAAAACTAATTCCTTTTAAATTGGAACCAAATTATTTCATGGAATTAGTAGTAGAGGAGGACATAATTGGTGTTACTTTCTGTCTGTGTGTGGCTGAAGACCACAGCATCAGTTCATCTTGGTATCAGAACAGCATTGGTTTATAAGGGAGAAACTGGTCAGCTGGAAAGACTAAGATAGATACAGTAGGACCAAGTCAGGTGTATGTTACATTTGCTTCTCTACACGTGCAGGACTGAAACTTGGGAATCAGAACTGTCAGCCTTACAGACTGGCCTCAGTTTCTCTAGGACTGCTGTGTGTTCTCTTGCTGACCGCAGTCATAAGTCTATCTGTACACTGTGAGTATTCAACAATCACAGGTGGTAGGGTGTGAGTGTGTGTGTGTGTGTGTGTGTGTGTGTGTGTGTGTATAAAGAAACATAAAATGATACAGTTGTTCTCTGCTCCATCACAGATTACAATGACTACAATCAACCATACTTCAGAGAAGGAAGAACTTCAGACTAGTTACGAAAACCTGACTAAGGAGAGAGACCAGCTGGAGACTTCTTTCAACGCCTTGAATAAAGACAGAGACCAGTTACAGACCCATTTTAACACCTTGATTGAAGAGAAATACCAGTTACAAAGGAAAATGTCAGTGCTGGAAATAAATATTTCAGAAGAACTGGGTGAGTATGTATGTTGCGCTAATAACTGTGAATTTGAGTTGATGTGAAAAAAGGATTATGATATATTGAAGTTATATGACTGTATTATCCGATATGCTCTCCTTCTGCAGGATAATGTCCTGTCAGTTGGAGGAGATTCAAGTCTAGCTGTTATTACCTCTCTTATGAGAAGAAAACCTGGAGTCAGAGAAGAGCATAATGTAATAATAGAGGAGAGGACCTTGTGATCATAAACAGTAGAGACAAACAGGTGAGAGAGAAGGTGAAAGAGAGGGAGAGAGACAGATACAGACAGACAGAGATAATAAACATACTAACTATGTTTTCCCCAGGTGTTTCTGAATAAATTGGCTAATAGTCGGAAGTTCTGGATTAGTCTGACTGAGTCAGTGAAGGAAGGGACCTGGAAATGGGTAAATGGAACAACTCTAATTGCAACAAAGTGAGTAAAATACAGATGGATCTTGTAGATACAACTCTACGTGTGGGCGTAGAGTTGAGGGTCAGTGCACGCTGGGTCAAACAGTAGTTGAATCACAATAGTCTCCTTTCCTTCATCTGAATTCATGTGGTTAAAAAACAGGAACTGCTGAAAGCAAATACATACACAATATTACTTTCACGTATCCCATGTTTCAGATCAGTGCATTTGAAGCAGAGGAGAGGAAGCAACTGATGACTATTGAGATACACCCGGTGAAGGAGGTTGGCTTCAAGAGAGAGTTTGCATCTGTGGGTAGTCTACACTAACGTTCGAACCAGCACAAGGTCAGATCATTCATTTATTGTAAGGTGATTTCTGTGAAGCCGTTTGTCTCAGAGCCTGACTTAACAGGATAGACCTAAAGTGTCAGCTAAAACTATCTGGGACTGGGACTGGACAAAGAGAGGACAGAGATCCGGTAAGGACACACATTTGATGGCACACACACACCAATGGATAATAATCAGAAAACACAATCTTTTTCAATTATCTGTTTTAAAGTCAATATGAAATTCAACGGAATTATATACACATTAGTTTGTGTTTCAACTCCACATTAGGTGATTAACCTCATGTTCTAGAAGTTATGACTGACTGCAAATTACGCAGCATTGGGGTTTGCGTGATCGTGGCCAAGTCTATGCGCACGAGTACGTACACAGGGAGAGGCTGCGACGCACAGCTTGCCACAACTTTTAAGAACATGCAATTTATTATTACGTGTGACTAGGTGCAAGGTCCATTGACATACATTTTAATCTTGCCTTCAAAGTTACATAAAACGTTATTGTGCACTCACAGTAATTTACAGTAAAGCTAATGCAGACTTGAAAACACACATAGTCCCGAGCAGGGTTCTTATGACAATGTTTCAGTTTGGTTTCCTTGCATGGCAGTCCCTCTCTCTCACCTCTTACCTAGGCAACAATCAGTCATGTGAATAATCAGTCTATCACAGTCGCAGACTAGTCACCACCACTTCTGAAAGTAGTGGAGAGGCCGGCCACTCACCATAAATAAGGTACTAACTTTAACGTGTGTGTGTCTGTGTGTAAGTTTATGTATGCGCAGTGCTTGACTCATTTTGGGTGCTGGTACTGTGGTGCAGGTGCTCCCCAATACTTTTGAGCAAATATTCTATAAGAGGAACAGGAGCTCAAGCACTGGATGTCTGTGTGTGTATGTGTGTGTGTGTGTGTGTGTGTCCATGCTTGCGTGTGTGTAGGGTTTTTCAATGCAGCAGTGTGTTATGAACATTACTATCTGGTGGTGGGTGTTATTAGCAACATACTTGTTTGAAAAAGTCAAACGTTTCTTGATATTGGTTTTTCTAATCTACTTTGATGCCTGAATATCACTCCCCCATTCTCCCTGTCTCTGTCTCTCTAGCATTTTCTCTCTGTCCCTCTCTCTCTCTCTGTCCCTCTCTCTCTCTCTCTCTCTCTCTCTCTCTCTCTCTCTCTCTCTCTCTCTCTCTCTCTCTCTCTCTCTCTCTCTCTCTCTCTCTCTCTCTCTCTCTCTCTCTCTCGCTGTCTCTCCAACCCCCCTTCTATCTCTCTATCCCTACAGTTCAAGATGGTGCGGTCTGTCAGAGAAGAAGGTAGTCGGCTCAGCACCATACAAGACCTTAAGGACTCTGGCTTCGGCCGTCCTTCCCCCCGACAAGGCCTCAAGCTCCTCTTCTGGTTCGCCAACGAATGCGTGGCGTTCAATCACCATGGCAAAATGCTGGTACAGTGCCACCCTGAGAGAGGCGACTTCGGCTTCCACTACTTTGGCAACTTCGAGGAGTTTCTCCCAGTAAAATTGCGAGACCACAGGGAAAGCTACTTCGAGGTGGGCAACCTGAACACAGAGACCTATTCCAAAGCCAAGGACCTACCGGACTATGTGAGACAGGACTACGGGCTATCCCTGGGCTACCGCTGATGCAACAAGGACCGAATCATCATCAGGCTCAGGCAAGGGGACGTGACAGCCACCTATGTCACCGAGCACAAGGGAGTTTGACTCCGAACGCACCCACCTTGTAAATCTGGATTTGATCCGCATCATCTGGGACCCTGAGCTGGAGCTTGCGACATTCCTGGACAAGACTGGCTACATGGGGCTGTTGCTGAGAGAGCGCCTCCTCAGAGCTTTCAAGGTCTTCATCTTGTTTGTGGTCTTCCTGGTGATCGCTTCTATCATTTTGAGCATCTTAGGGAAGTTGTAGAGACAGGAGTCTGATGTTAGCCATTGTGCGTTTATAGGTTAAGTACATAGGTAATTTGCCATAGTGTTTTGGTTGGTTAGGTCATAAGCCCAGTAAATACAATAGTTATATTATTTTATAAATAGTCAAATAGTTATGTTTCAAATAGTCTCCCGAGTGGCGCAGTGGTCTAAGGCACTGCATCGCAGTGCTAGCTGTGCCACTAGAGATTCTGGTTTGAATCCAGGCTCTGTCGTAGCCAGCCGTGACCGGGAGACCCATGGGGCGGCAGGGATCAGGTCCGGACCAGAACACCTGGGATGATTTGGTTCGAACCATTTGGGATCCGGAGCAGCACCAGACCACGTCCCAGTTGGGACTATTGCTGAGACAACGGTTCACCAGAGTCTTTGTAGTCATGTTAGTGGTCCTCCTGGTCATCACTTTGATGGTTTTGGTCATCTTAGGGAAGTTGTAGAGATAGCAGTCATTGTAGTTGTTGTGCTGCTGTTGGTCCATCAGGGTTGGGGTCAATTCTATTTAAATTCAGTCAATTCAGGAAGTAAACTGAAATTCAAATTTTTCCTAACGGTAAAGTTTTGAGAAATGATTGAATTGAAATGGAATTGATCCCAACCCTGAGGTCCATAGATCATTTCTCAGGGGTAAATAAAATAGTTTTATTATGTTTTATGATTATGTTAAATCAATACTTATAGCACATTACTCTTGTATGTCTTTCTACACTCACACTCGCACTTGTCTTTTCTCACTGGCACTGATTTTGCGCAGATTTTCCTTCCAAAGACTCCTGAGTGGCGCAGTGGTCTAAGGCACTGCATCGCAGTGCTAACTGTGCCACTAGAGATCCTGGTTTGAATCCAGGCTCTGTCGCTGCTGGCTGCGACCGGGAGACTCATGGGCGGCGCACAATTGGCCCAGCGTCGTCCGGGGTAGGGGAGGGAATGGCCGGCAGGGATGTAGCTCAGTTGATAGAGCATGGCGTTTGCAATGCCAGGGTTGTGGGTTCGATTCCCACGGGGGGCCAGTATAAAAAAAATATATGTATTCACTAACTGTAAGTCGCTCTGGATAAGAGCGTCTGCTAAATGACTAAAATGTAATATGTGGTTGTCTTTACCTTCCATAGTCGAATGCACTGAATGGAAGTCGCTTTGGATAAGAGCGTCTGCTAAATTATGTTTTCAAATATTTTTGTAATCGATAAGATATTATCAGATTTTTTATGTGACAATTTAGAATAAAATAAAAAGAAGACAAGTTGAATAATTTGTCTTTATTTCAACTCTGTGATATATCTCTGTTCTTTATACCATAGGGAACAGAAACCTCTCTAATACACACACACACACACACACACACAAACACACACACACACACACACACACACACACACACACACACACACACACTACATAAACACCTGGCCTTTGTCACCTCTCTCTCTCTCTCTCTCTCTCTCTCTCTCTCTCCTCTCTCTCTCTCTCTCTCACACACATATAAAGTGCATAAACACTTTTTCTCACCTCATTGCAAATTGGACTGTAGGGACATTCAGAGCATCTGTGAGACAAGACAGCATACTAAGACAGAGAGACAGAGACTATACACACAATACCACTTATCGTCATCATTGAGATATGGAGATAGAATGTAGAGGAGGTCTGTGTTAAAGGCTATGATGATCTGGCTGCAGGTTATGAGACTTTACACCAGAGTCCACAGGCTGGAACAAGTAAGTGTGTTTTACAGACAATAATGACTGAGAAGTACATTTTGATATGAGTACACTCCAACGTAAAGGTATTTAAATACATCCGAGTGAGGATGAAAGCCTCAGATCCAGACACCTCCGAATATTCTCCACATGGGCCAAATAGCAATTTAAATCAGTATGATAAATGGTCCCCCTTGTTGTGCAAAATGTCATCTCGATTCAGCTGGGGATCAACTAAAATACAATCCAGAGTGCTCCGAAATCTAATTCACATATAAATGCGACAGTACTTTATTGTCCCACAGCGGTCATAGACTAGGGGAAAAGCGATGGAAACAAACGCTAATGAAATGTTTGATTTTGCAAGTTGTCATATGCAGATCAATTAGGTAACTTAAGATGCTTAGAGAATTGATTGCGTTGTAATATGAGAATGCAAGTAACCTGAAAGCTGATGCGACATGTAGGTTCAGTCATAATCTAACCATCCAACAGTGGCTTAAACTGTGAACAAGACAGCTGCTTTAAACTGATCATTTCTTTGTCAGATGGAATGATTTTACAAATAAACATTTTGGAAGCTAAGAGATCAGCCGTCTTTGAATTTATTGTATCGTGCACACTGACAAAAGTATTGATAATTGTAGCTTTTTCATGTGCTTTTTTAGAAATCTGCGTTGTGTTGTCAAAATAGAAAACACTCATGCTCAATATTTTTTATATAATAATGTCACTTAATCACATTACGATATTCTATCAATAACTATAATTATGTGAACCAGAGCTTGGTCAGCGACTTAGTGTCAAGGCCGGGCGTAGGTGTGGTGTGGAATCAATTGCAGGATGCAGATGCAAGTCCAAAAACACTTTAATAAAGTCCACAGAAACAACGGCTATAAACAGAGCCGGTTGAACAAGGGAAAAATAAACGCACTCAGCGTAAAAGTACAACAAACGCACAACGTGCGGACTCTCTAATAACATAGAGCACAAACTGACTGGCAACACCTGCTGACATAGAACAACTACACACAACCACAAGACAGAAACAAATAAAACTTAAAGGACACATAATCAAGACGAAATGAGCAACAGGTGTAACAAATCAGACCAAACCAAACACACAGACACAACGAACGGTGGCAGCTAGTACTCCGGGGACGACGACCGCCGAAGCCTGCCCGAACAAGGAGAAGGAGCAGCCTCGGCCGAAACCGTGACAGTACCCCCCCCTTGACGCGCGGCCCCAGCCGTGCGGCGACCCCGGCCTCGGGGACGACCTGGAGGACGCGGAGCAGGGCGCGTGGGATGACCACGATGGAACTCAGTCAGAAGAGACGGGTCTAAGATATCTCTCCTCGGCACCCAGCACCGCTCCTCCGGACCGTACCCCTCCCACTCCACGAGATATTGGAGACCCCCCATCCGGCGTCTCGAATCCAGGATGGACCGAACTGTGTACGCCGGAGCCCCCTCGATGTCCAGCGGGGGCGGAGGAGTCTCTGCTATCTCACACTCCTGGAGTGGACCAGCTACCACCGGCCTGGAGGGACTCCCCAGAGCGTGGCCTGCCGTCTCTCCCCCTAGGAGACCCCCCCCAGCACCTGGCCGCAGTGTGTCCTCCACGGCCACAGTAGGTACAGGGGTTGGTTCCCCTGGGGCTCCTTCTCCTCTCCTCTCCAGCGCCAGCACCCCCGAGCTCCTTAGGACTAGGCTCGGAGGTGCTGGAGGGTGGAATGGACGACCCCCACTCAGGACGTCCGCGGGTGGCCAACAGGGTGTCGAGGCGAATGGCCATGTCAACTAACTGGTCAAACGTGAGGGTGGTGTCCCTGCAGGCCAACTCACGACGGACGTCCTCCCGTAGGCTGCAGCGGAAGTGGTCTATGAGGGCCCGCTCATTCCACCCTGCGTCTGCCGCTAGAGTCCGGAACTCCAGTGCAAAATCCTGTGCGCTCCTCTTCCCCTGTCGGAGTAGAATAGACGTTCTCCCGCCGCCTTCCCCTCAGGTGGATGGTCGAATACAGCCCTGAAGCGACGGGAGAACTCTGCATAGGTGATCGTCGCGGGGTCTATTCTCCTCCATTCGGCGTTGGCCCACTCCAACGCCTTGCCGGTGAGACAGGAGATGAGGGCCGAAACGCTCTCGTGTCCCGAGGGCACCGGGTGTACGGTGGCGAGGTAGAGTTCTACTTGTAGGAGGAAACCTTGACACCCGGCAGCGGTACCATCATACGCCCTCGGGAGCGAGAGCCGAATCCCACTGGGTTCCGGAGCATGGACTAAGGGACTGACCGGTGCTGGTGGTACTGTGGGAGGAGGCGTGGGTGCCCAACTGGTCTCCAGGCGATGCAGGGTATTATTACTCCTTGTAATGCGTTGGTGATCTGGGCTATCCTGTAATCCTGTCCGCGGACGCGCTCCTCCCATGACTCGGTCGCTGCTGCTGCTCCTGCTGATTCCATGAATGGTGTGTAGTTCTGTTAAGGCCGGGCGTAGGTGTGGTGTGGAATCAATTGCAGGATGCAGATGCAAGTCCAAAAACACTTTAATAAAGTCCACAGAAACAACGGCTATAAACAGAGCCGGTTGAACAAGGGACAAATAAACGCACTCAGCGTAAAAGTACAACAAACGCACAACGTGCGGACTCTCTAATAACATAGAGCACAAACTGACTGGCAACACCTGCTGACATAGAACAACTACACACAACCACAAGACAGAAACAACGAGAACTTAAAGGACACATAATCAAGACGAAATGAGCAACAGGTGTAACAAATCAGACCAAACCAAACACACACGACACAACGAACGGTGGCAGCTAGTACTCCGGGGACGACGACCGCCGAAGCCTGCCCGAACAAGGAGAAGGAGCAGCCTCGGCCGAAACCGTGATACCTAGCCACTGACCATTCTTGACCATTTTCCCTATGGATCCCAGGCTTGAGCCAATCTATTTGTGTGGCTATTTTGAATACAATATAGAAATTGTCCAGTATTTTATTCACCACAATTGAACAAAATACAATTATGTTTCTTACATGAATATTGGGGAAAAGAATCCTCTCTCTCTCGCTCTCTATCTCTCTCATACATAGAGTGCATACACACGTTTGTCACCTCATTTCAATTTGGACTGTGGACTGAATTCATTCTCAGAACATCAGTGAGACAGGAAACAAACAGGGAGAGAGAGACAGAGACTATAGAGTTACACAGTATACATTATACACCAGTTGTTATCATTGAGATATGGAGATAGAAGAGGACATCTATGCTAATGTAGAGGAGGTCAGTGTGAAAGGCTGTGATGATCTGGCTGCAGGTTATGAGACTTTACACCAGAGTCCACAGGCTGGAACAAGTAAGTGTGTTTACAGATTCTTACACACACATTTCTTAATTTATTCATTAAACAAATGGGGGAAAAATGATTCGGAATGGTTCTGACGAACAGAAGAAGGAAGGGCTATGGAAATGGGTGGATTGGAACAACACCAACCACAAACAGTGAGGGAAAAGACAGAGAACAATCAATTACAATGCAGCAGGCACCAGTAACCAATGATCACTAGTTTTTCTCTTGGGTTTGACTGTTAACTGAACTGGTTGGTTCTTAGATTCTGGAGAGAAGAGAGCCAAATAATGCCCAGGGGGATGAGAACTGTGCAGTCTTTAACAGCTTCAGCGATAACCTGGGAAATTATACAATCATGGAATGACCAGCCTTGCCTCATTGCTTATCCATTGGGTATGCAAACTACACACCTAAAGTGTCCTCCTAATAGGGCCCTACACATCATGATGCATCTGCCCACCAGGAGAAATACTGAATTACCAAAAACTAAGCAGTGCATGCTCCTACAAGTTGATGATGACAAGCCTGCCAGGGAAAACGGATGACCCATAACACATGTAAAAAAGCCCCCACTAATTAGCTAACGATTAAAATTAATGAAAGTTAAAATTGAATCTACGTCAGACGTTAATTCTTCAAGTCGGCTGTTTTGGCATGTGTTTTGGATAATCTGAATACCCTTTTGAATTTGCAATTGCGTTTAGATTTGCTCTTACATTAAGGTTAATCCTTCCTGGCATTTCAGTAGTAGCACATATTGCTGTCACGACTTCCTCCAAAGCTGCCTCCTCTCCTTGTTCGGGCAGGCTTTGGCGTTCGTCGTCACCGGCCTTCTAGCCACTGCCGCTCCTCATATCTCCTTCCATTTGTTTTATCTTGTTTATTACACCACACCTGGTTCATATCCCCTCATCAGTACCTGTATAAGTGTTCCCTCTGCCCCCTTGTCTTTGTGTGTGATTGTTTATTGTAGAGGAGATATTGTGTATTGCTGGGTTATTCACCCGTCTGCCTTTATTTCCCAAGTGCGCCGTTTGTCCGCACTGGTGTGTATTACGCATTGCTGCGTACCTCTGTTTATTGATTCAACTATTTATTCGTGATTTCCTCTCCTGCGTCTGACGCCGTCCAACATCACCGCTACAATTGCAGAATAAATTATTAAAACTCTTTGCAAAACATTCCAGTTAACTATGACTAACATGCTCCCTCTACTGCCTAGAAAGGCATATAGAAGGTCAGTGCAGAACATTACAGTATTAGGTAGAATTACTTAAGATTGCTTAAGAGAATTGATTGCGTTTTAATATGAGAATGCAAGTAACCTGAAAGCTGATGCGACATGTAGGTTCAGTCATAATCTAACCATCCAACAGTGGCTTCAACTGTGAACAAGACAGCTGCTTTAAACTGATAATTTCTTTGTCAGATGGAATGATTTTACAAATAAACATTTTGGAAGCTAAGAGATCAGCCATCTTTGAATTTATTGTATCGTGCACACTGACAAAAGTATTGATAATTTTAGCTTTTTCATGTGCTTTTTTAGAAATCTGCGTTGTGTTGTCAAAATAGAATACACTCATGCTCAATATTTTTTATATAATAATGTCACTTAATCAAATTACGATATTCTATCAATAACTATAATTATGTGAACCAGAGCTTGGTCAGCGACCTAGCCACTGACCATTCTTGACCATTTTCCCTATGGATCCCAGGCTTGAGCCAATCTATTTGTGTGGCTGTTTTGAATACAATATAGAAATTGTCCAGTATTTTATTCACCTCAATTGAACAAAATACAATTATGTTTCTTTACATTAATATTGGTGAAAATAATCTTCTCTCTCTCTCTCTCTCTCTCTCTCTCTCTCTCTCTCTCTCTCTCTCTCTCTCTCTCTCTCTCACATATAAAGTGCATAAATACTTTTTCTCACCTCATTGCAATTTGGACTGTAGGGACATTCAGAGCATCGGTGAGACAAGACAGCATACTAAGACAGAGAGACAGAGACTATACACACAATACATCTTATCGTCATCATTGAGATATGGAGATAGAAGAGGACATTTATGCCAATGTAGAGGAGGTCTGTGTTAAAGGCTATGGTGATCTGGCTGCAGGTTATGAGACTTTACACCAGAGTCCACAGGCTGGAACAAGTAAGTGTATTTTACAGACAATAATGACTGAGAAGTACATTTTGATATGAGTACACTCCAACGTAAAGGTATTTAAATACATCCGAGTGAGGATGAAAGCCTCAGATCCAGACACCTCCGAATATTCTCCACATGGGCCAAATAGCAATTTAAATCAGTATGATAAATGGTCCCCCTTGTTGTGCAAAATGTCATCTCGATTCAGCTGGGGATCAACTAAAATACAATCCAGAGTGCTCCGAAATCTAATTCACATATAAATGCGACAGTACTTTATTGTCCCACATCGGTCATAGAGCTGAGGGGATAGCAGATGTAAACAGTGGGCCTAAGGGGCAAAGTAGCTTTAAAATAAGTACTCTGGCTACAATATCAATATAAATAAGTTTATTATCATCATTAATGAGAAACGGTGAGGCAATTAGTGGAAAGGGACGTAATTTTTGGAGGGACTTAAACATTTTCAAGCATTATCTTTAAATGTTTATATATAATTTGTATAGAAATGAGAGTAGAGGAGGACAGAAATACATTTTACCCAACTTTCTGTCCTGATGGGGTTGAAGACCACAAGACTCAGTTCCTCTTGGTATAAGAGCATTGGTTTGTGAGGTGATTGTAACCACTTGTTTCTCTACATCTGCAGGACTGAAGCGTGGGAATCAGAACTCTCCTCCTTGGAGGCTGGCTACAGTTTCTCTGGGCCTGCTGTGTGTTCTCTTACTGATCACAGTCATAAGCCTCTCTGTGCATGTGAGTATTCAACGCACATGTGTGCCTGCATGTGTATTTATGTGTGTGTTTGTGAATGTGTGTGTATGTGTGTGCATGTGTGTGCAAAAAATATTGTTGGTGTGCGCTCTCTTTTCTTTTCAATCACAGATGATGAACCCTATAATGAACTGTCCAGACTCCAGACTTCATACAACAACCTGACTGAGGAGAAACTCCAGTTACAGAGGACAGTTTCAGAGCAGGAGAAGAAGATATCAGAGCTTGGTAAGTATGCTGTTGTAAGAATGTGAATGTAGGGGATTGAGTATGATATTATGATCAGTAGCAAATGTTCTGTATTATATAAATATGGTATATAACAATTGGTCTGTATACCTGAATTAGCTGTACTCATTCTCTTTCTATAGGACCCTGTCCTGATTGTTGGAGGAGAATCAGATGTAGTTGTTATTACTTGTCTAATAACAGTAAAACTTGGAGTGAGAGCAGACAAGACTGCAGAGAGAGAGGAGCAGACCTGGTGATCATAAACAGCAGAGAGGAACAGGTTTGTATGTGGGTGCGTGAGAGAGAGAGAGAGAGAGAGAGAGAGAGAGAGAGAGAGAGAGACTAAACTTACCGGTTTGTTGTATGCAGAAGATTCTAAACAAATTGGGGGGGGAAATGTATTTCTGGATTGGTCTGACTGACTCAGAGAAGGAAGGGATCTGGAAATGGGTGGATGGAACAACACCAACCACAACACAGTGAGTGAAATGCAGAGTAACATATCAATTACAATGCAGCAGGCACAGTAACCAATAATCACTAGTTTTTCCTCCTGGGTTGACTGTTAACTGAACTGGTTGGTTCTTAGATTCTGGAGAGAAGGAGAGCCAAATAATGCCCAGGGGGGTGAGAACTGTGCAGTCTTCAACAGCTTCAGCGATAACCTGGGAAATATACAATCATGGAATGACCAGCCTTGCTCATTGCTTATCCATTGGGTATGCAACTACACACTACACTCCTCCTAATAGGCCTACACATCATGATGGCATCTGCCCACAGGAGAAATACTGAATTCCAAAAACTAAGCAGTGCATCTCCTACAAGTTGATGCTGACAAGGCCTGCCAGGAAAACGGATGACCCATAACACATGTAAAAAAGGCCCACTAATTAGCTAACGATTAAAATTAATGAAAGTTAAAATTGAATCTACGTCAGACGTTAATTCTTAAAGTCGGCTGTTTTGGCATGTGTTTTGGATAATCTGAATACCCTTGTCACGGTTTCGGCCGAGGCTGCCTCTCTCCCTTGTTCGGGCAGGTTTCGGCGTTCGTCGTCTCCGGAATTCTAGCTGCCACCGCTGTATGTTTCATGTTCGTTTGCTTTTGTCTGTTTGTTTCCACACCTGTTTCTGTTTTGGCGTAATTAGTGTCCTATAAGTTTCTCGTTGTGTTTGTCTAGTGTTGTGTGTAATTATTTTCCGTCAGTTGTGTGTATTGCTCGGTTGAGCTTCTCTCCACTACTCTGGAGTATTATCGCACCTGTTTGTGCGCGGTTACATTTTGTCGCACCTGTTTGTGCGCGGTTACATTTTGTCGCACCTGTTTGTGCGCTGTTTCTTTTCGCCGTTGTGCGTAATTTTCGCCTTCGGGCCAAGTTGTCCTTTTTGCCTATGTATGGGCAGTAATACAAGAGATTGGAATATCGTTCTGAGTCCTGCGTTTGATTCCACCATTACACCTACAGCACGCCCTGACAGAATTACACACCATCTATGGAATCAGCAGGAGCCGAAGCAGCCCAGACGAGACTGGAGGCCCAGGTTCGGGACCAACAAGATCAGCTCCTGCAGATGGGGACCGCCCTGCAGGAGGTGATTTCCACCCTCCGAGGCTGGGGTACGCCTCCACCGCCTCCGCCCTGCCAGCACCATCGGCCAGCCCGCCCATTCCAGCGCCGGAACCTCGGAGGAGTCCGACTATCTCTCCGAGGGCCTACGACGGAACCGCGGCTGGGTGTCAGGATTCCTACTCCAGGTGGAGCTATACCTGGCCACAGTGCACCGGCACCTTCAGGGCATGAGAGCGTGTCCGCCCTGATCTCCTGCCTGGCGGAAAAGCGTTGGAGTGGGCCAACGCGGAAGTGGAGGAAGATCGACGCCACGACGATTACTTACAACCGAGTTCTCCCGCCGCTTCAGGGCCGGTGTTTGACCATCCCCCGGAGGGAAAGCGGCGGGGGGGAGCGTCCTGGTCTTCCTCCGGCAGGGGGAGGAGAGTGCCCCAGGATTCGAGCTCGAATTCGCTACTCTAGCGGCAGATGCAGGGTGGGAATGATCGGGCCCTCATCGATCTATACAGATGTAGCCCTACGAGAGGACGTCCGTCTAGGGAGATGGCTTCGTAGGGACACCAGCCTCTCTTTCGACCAGCTGGTTGACATGTCCATCAGGCTGGATAACCTACTGGCTACCCCGCGACGTCCTGCGGGAGGGGTCCGTCCATTTCACCCTCCAGCGCCTCCGAGCCGTGTCCTATGGAGCTCGGGGCGCTGGCGTTAGAGTGGAGGAGGAGTCGGCGGCTAGGGGGTCCATCCACTGCACCAACTGTGGTCGGGGGGGGCGGACACACCGCGGCTAGGTGCTGGGGATGGCCTCCTAGGGGAGATGACGACAGGTCCCGCACTGGGGATTCCCTCCAGGTGAGTAGGCCGCCCCACTCACCCAGAGCTCACTGTTGCCCATTTTTGTATGCCTGTACGTTTTCCACAGGTAGCCACCTCATTCCCAGCATAAGGCGCTGGCAGATTCAGGCGCGGCTGGGAATTTTATTGATAAAAGTTTGTTTTAGCGTTAGGGATTCCCCTCATTTCCTGTTGATGTTCCTTTTCCCGTTCACGCCCTAGATAGTCGTCCGTGGGTACGGGCTTAATTCAGGGAGGTCACGGCGCCACTTAGGATGTGGGCGCAGGGGGATCATCAGGAGATGATTCAGCTGTTCCTGATTGACTCTCCTGCGTATCCGGTGGTGCTGGGCATGCCCTGGTTGAGTACCCATAACCCAGCTATTTCGTGGCAGGAGGAGGGCTCTGATGGAGTGGTCTGCTCAGTGTGTGGGTAGATGTTTGGGCGTTTCCGTAGGGGCTACTCGGTGGAGAGTCCAAACCAGGTGCCCGCATTGCACGTTCCACCTGAGTATGGGGATTTGGCTATTGCGTTTAGTAAGGCGAGGGCGACGCGGTTGCCACCCCATAGGCAGGGAGATTGTGCGATAGACCTCCAGGCAGAGCTGCGCTCCCACGGAGCCATGTGTATCCTCTGTCTCAGGAGGAGAAGAAAGCTATGGAGATTTACATAGACGAATCGCTGAGACAAGGATACATACGGCCTTCCACTTCCCCTGCGTCCTCGAGTTTCTTTTTCGTGAAGAAAAAGGATGGTGGTTTGCGCCCGTGCATCGATTACCGTGGGTCTCAATCAGATTACGGTGAAGTATAGTTATCCACTCCCGCTGATTGCGACCATGACTGAGTCGTGCATGGGGCGCGTTTCTTCACGAAATTAGATCTCAGGAGCGTGTACAACTTGGTGCGCATCAGGGAGGGTGATGAATGGAAAACAGCCTTTAGTACCACCTCGGGCCCATTACGAGTATCTGGTCATGGCATACGGGTTGATGAACGCTCCGTCAGTTTTCCAATCATTTGTGGATGAGATCTTCAGGGACATGCAGGGGCAAGGGGGGTGGTGGTTGTACATTGATGACATTCTCGTGTACTCACCTACCCGTGTCGAGCATGTGGCCTGGGTGCGTAGAGTGTTGCGGAGGCTGGTGGAGCACGACCTGTATGTGAAGGCAGAGAAGGGTCTGTTTTTCCAGGAGTCGGTCTCCTTTTTGGGTTTATCAGTTGTCTGCGGTCAGGGGTGAAGATGGAGGTTTAGACCGGGTGTCGGCCGTGCGTTAATTGGCAAAACAACCAAACCACTGTGAAGGGGTGGTGCAGCAGCTTTTTGGGGTGCAAAACTACAGGAGTGTTATCCGGTTTTTTGGGAAGGTGGCGCTCCCATCACGTCTCGGTTGATTGAAGGAGGGGTGTCCGAGATGGTCCTGCAGCGGTCGGCAGACCGGCGGAAGTGGCGTTGTGGGGAGCGGCAGGACATGTTACCCTAGGCCACGGTGCTGCGCGCAGGTCTCCGGATGCCCTCTTTTGCCGTTCCAGGCTAGAGGTGCGAGCCCGCCCGTCCGCGAGGGACGTGCGGGTTAGGAGCGATGTGCTTTCAAAAACGGCTGGCGCGCCACCCTAAAATCCAGCCCCTGTGCCTGTTTATCTAGAAGCTCAGTCGGCGGGAGACGGAAATTGAGTAGGGGACAGGGAGCTTGTAGCCGTGGTACAGTCTCTAAAGGTGGACGGGCACTGGCTTGAGGGTGGCTCAAACCCTTCATCATTTTGACGGACAACGTACCCTGCGAGTTACGTCCCCGGGCGGCGACGGCGTGTGAACCCTTGCCAGCAAGAGGGAGATAGGTTCTGACCAGTTTACTTTAAGATCACGTACACCCCTGGGTCCACAGAATGGCAAGGGCACGAAATGCGGCTGTTCTCGGCAGGTTTATGACACGGAGGAGAGGTCGTGGTACCCCAATCCCATAATGCCTGGAGTCAGTTGTTCGGTTGGCACCACGGTACTGTGTGGCGAGGTCCGTATGCTCGAACTCGGAGCGCGAGTGCAGTTACGCACGACCATAGGCCAACCACAGTGGCCCGGAGGGTCGGCCGTGGGTACGTTCCGCTCGGGGTTAGGGATTCGATTCGATATATTGGGATCTACACGTTCACCTCTCTTGACATCGGGTATCCGGCCACGGGACCGGACAGTGCACTGTTATTAGTACAAGTACCGGGTTGGCCACGTTCTGGCAAGGGAGTGGGGTAGTTTCCTTCCCCTGTCGTCGGCTGTGAGCCGTGTACAGCGCCTAGAATCTACTCAGGGAAGTTTGCTACCTGCCCGTTCCCACGACCAGGTCCACTCTCAGGGACTTATAACAGACCTTCCCCCTCTACCAAGGGAAATAACTACCCATCCCTGGGTCGTTGGGGTTAAGGTTATTAAGCCTGGGTTTGATCCCCATGACGGGTCTTGTCACAGCCTACAACTGCCGAGGCACTGTGGCACCATGTGTTTCGGCACTACTGGGTACCCGGGACAGTCATGCTTGGCTGATAGGGGTCAACCAATCACTCCTCAAGAGTCCGAGAGCGTTATGAGCGGTTGGGGTCTCGGTGAGCCTCACCTCGGGGTACCACCCGCGAGACGTAATGGGCAGTGAACGCGTTGTGTAAACCAGGACGTGGGGATTAGGTTCTTCCCAGCAAAACATACTGCCAGGGAGCCGGACCCACGGAGAGGAGTGGTCAAGTACGTTCCCGGGGCCCCGAGACCTGGCCCAGTGATCCCTACCCGCATGCCCTCCACAACCTAAATCCATTGCAAGGGGTAGGTACCAGCCGGTCTTGGGACACCCTGGCAGGAGAGCCCAGATCACCGAGTGCCGCCTGCGGTGGATCGAGGGAGGCGCGGCGATCGGAGGCGGAGACTGTGAAGCTGACACACGTCCCACCGGAGAGGGTGGGCCTCCGACGTTCAGAAGGGAGACGCGCTGATCTCCACCGGCAGTGAGCGCAGGTGTCACGCACGCTACCTGTGATCGAGTATGGCCTCGCTACCACGGAAACATGCCCTCAGAATGGAACCGGAGGGAAAACCTGGTGGGACGGTTTTTAGTTAGGGCTCACTTTTTACAAGTTGCATCTGAAGGAAGGCGTTGCTTGCCAACGAGCGTGGGTATGTTATAGATGGACAGATACCGGTGGAGCTATAAAGTGTGTTCACCCCTTCCCCGATGTTCCCTTCCAGGCCGGGTGTAGCGGGCCCACTCCAGCCAAAAAGAGATCTTGGAGAACATCCTCCGCCCACGGTCCGGACCAAATCGAGGGGATTCCCGGGCACCGGAGTACTACGTGCCGATTACAATTCTTGGACATTCGAGACGTCGGAGGGGGGGGGTTCTCCATGTAATTAGTGGATGTGGGATGGGGGTAACGGTCCGAAGGGCGGGCTGGGTGCAGAGGGAGAGACGTTTGGGGGACCCCCCCGTCGCTCCGACGGATTCCTACGGGGGAAGCCGCAGAGCCATTCAGCGTTCCCAATCCTGGTCGTCCCCCGGACCGGCCGGAGCAGTCGCGCACGTCGGAGCGCGAGTCAAGGGGGAGTACGGGGTACACTGTAACGTGGTTTCGGCGAGGCTGTCAGTCTATCACTCCCGCGTTGGTTCGGGATAGTTTCAGGCGGCGTTAGTCGTCGACGGAATTATAGATGCTAACACCGCTCGTATGTTCTAATGTCTCGTCCTTGCCTTTGTTGGTTTTGTTTCCAAAACTGTTATGTTTTGGAGTTAAGAGTGGCTCCTATAAGTTCATCTCGTGGTAGATTGTGGGGGTCTGGTTGTGTGAGTATTTTACGTAGTTGTGTGTATTGCTCTTGTTGAGGCTCTCTCACTAATCGGCCCATGAGGTATTCCATTAGCTCCATGTAGTAGAGTGGATATCCGCTACCGGTGTGCGCGGTTACCATTTTGTCGCTCTGTTTGTGCGCGGTACATTTGTTCGCACCTGTTGTGCGATGTTTCTGTTCGGCCGTTGTGTCGTAATTTTCGCTTCGGGCAAAGTGTCCTTTTTGCAGTTGAGGCAGTAGAGTATACAAGAGATTGAATATTCTCCGAGTCCTGCCAGTTGATTCCCACCATTACACCTACAAGCACGCCCGCCTGACAAAAACCACTTTTGAATTTGCAATTGGTTTAGGAGGTCAGTACATAAGGGTATAATCCTTCATGCATTCCCGTAGTGAGCCCATATTGCTGCACGACTTCCTCCGAAGCTGTCCTCCCTTGTTCGGGCAGGCCGGCGTTCGTCGTCAACGGCCTCTAGCCACTGCCGCTCCTCATATCTTTCTTCTGTCATTTGTTGTATGTTTTAGTACACACCCCGGTGCATATTCCCACTCATAAGTACATGTACAAGTGTTCACTCTGCCCCCTTGGTCTTTGTGTGTGATTTGTTGATTGTAGAGGAGATTATAGCGCGGGGATCTTGATTCTATGTGTATTGTGGGTTATACACCCGTCTGCCGTTATTTCCCAAGGCGCCGTTTTCCAGCCACTGGGATGTATTAGCATTGATACGTACCCTGTTTATGATTAAACCATGCAATTCCGTGATTTCCTATCTGCGTCTGAGCGCTCGTCTCCAACGCACGTACAATGTGCAGGAATAAATAATAAAAACTCGTTGGCAAAAAAGTCCAGTTAACTATGACAACTTGCTCCCTCTAATGCCTAGAATAGGCATAAAGCATGTCATAGTGCGTATACATTACAGTATGTAGGGAGAACTACTTAGATGCTGAAGAGAACTGATTTAAAGTGAATATGAGAATGCAAGTAACCTGAAAGCTGATTGAATGTTCAGGGTCAGTTCCTAATTACCCATCCAACGTGGCTTCAATGTGAGTGTACAAGACAGCTGCTTTAAACTGAGCATTCTTGTCAGATGGATGATTTTACAAATAAACATTGGAAGCTAAGAGATCAGCCATCTTTGATTCATAGGATCGTGCACATGACAATAAAAAGAATTGAGTAAATAGCTTTGGTAATGTGATTTTTTAAGAAATCTGTATTGGACTGTCCATAGCAGATGAAACTCATACTCCTATTTCTTATGTAATAAGGGCTTCATTAATGAAATGAAATTGCGATATTGCTATGAATTAGTTATCAATTAACGCGAACACAGAGCTGGTCGCGACCTAGCCAATGACCAGTATTGTCCCCCACGATCCGTCGTCGTAAGCTAACCGTGACCAAGGCGGTAAGATGATAGGAGTAAATTTTATGAGAACTTAACCCCAAACACAAAAATACGATCAGTTCAAAGGTTCACCAACAACAAACCATAAAAGATCAAGATCCCACAATAATGTGCCAACCGGCTGGACTAAGTATGTTTCGCCAGAGCAGAGGAAGAGACAACGAGCAACAGCTGCCTCTGACGGGACCACCGGCCAACATAGATCTAAACGATCTAGAATAAACACATAGAAACTAAACCAAGCATAGAAACTAACACCTGGCCCTCCAACATAAAAGAGCACCAGCCCCGGGCCGTGACCTGTGTACCAAACCACCAACAGGCTCAGGACTCCGCGGACCGCGGCCAACTAAACCAAACAGGGGAGGGGGCAGGGTGGGCATCTGCCGCGGCAGGTCAGTCCGGCTGCCGCTCGGGCGCGGAAACACACTCTCTACTCGCCCTCGTGGTATGGCACTGCTGACGGAGCGGCCGGGATGAAACACCGGTGGAGAGCGGATTTGCTATGGCTCGGCGTCTGGAGAAGTCGACGGCGCAGGACCAGGCACAGGGGAACAGGACGGACAGTGCCGGACTGACGACACGGCCCACCACAATGATGGGGTGAGGGGAGCGAGAGAAGGGCCGACCGGCGATGACGAGACGCACCACGGCTTGGAGTGCGGGGGGGGGAGCAGGAACGGGCCGGAACGGGCTGACGAAAATGCGCAACACTGGCTTGGTCGGGGGAGAAGATAGGAAAAGCGCCGAAACAGGCGGCTGGCGACGAGCACCATGGCTGGTGCGGGGAGCAGGAACAGCAGGCCGGCCAGCTGGATGACGGCCACAAGGCTTGTGTGCGGGGACAGCGGAACAGGCAGGGCCGGGCGGCGAAGCGCACCACTGGCTGGTGCGTCGGGGAGGGGAGCTAGGCCCCAGGAAAAAGGCCAGGACCGGGGCTGGCGACGCGCACCACAGGCTTGGGCGAGGGCAGTTTTAACCCCCCCTTTTTTCCCCCCCCCCCTTCGTAAACCACCTTTTGGGGGCCCCCCCCCCACCCCTTCCGGGCCCCCCCCCCACCCCCCCCCCCCCCCCGAACCCCTTTTCCCCCCTTTTCTTTAGATTTCTTCCATTTGGGGCCCCTCAAAACCTCTCTCTAAACTGGTTACTGTATATTTCCCTCACATCATTGCCACGTGTGAACTTTTAGTTGTTGTGTTCAATGGTGACCCCTTGCTCAAATTGGGGGTTTTTTGATTTTGTCCCTGGCTACCATTACAGCACGGGTGCACAAAATGAAATGTGTTGGCCCAATTTGTCAAAACCCAGGAAAATGCTTATGGTTTTTCCCAAAAGAGTGATTGATTAAATCAGGGGTTTTCGGAAACTGGCATTTGGTTCGACAATAGGTTTGTTTTTTTAGCAATTGAGAAAAACTTTATAAATATAGAAAAAAATTTGGTCGTATACCTAAATTGCGTACTCTTCTCTTTCTATAGGCCCCTGTCCTGAGGGTTTGGGGGAGAATCGATGTAGCTGTTATGACTTCTCTAAAAACGTAAAACTTGGGGGAAAAGGGCAAAAAACTAAAGGGAAAGGAGCGACGGGTTCTAAACAGCAAGAGGACTTTTGTGTTTTGGTGCGAGAGGGGAGAGAAGAGAAGAGAGAGAGAGAGAGGAGAGAAGAAGAAGAGAGAAGATTATGGAGAAGAAGAGGGGAAATCCTAGAGATAAAATATCAGCCCCGTTTAAAATGTTTTTTTTTTTTCCCCTTCTCCCCCGTTCTCTCTCGGCTCTATCCCTCTCTCTTTCTCTCTCTTTTTCCCCTCCACCCCTCCCTCTCCTCTCTTCCCCTCTCTTCCTTTCTCTCTCCTCTCCCCCCTTCCCTTTGTTTTGAAAATTTTTCTAAACTTGGGGAAAAAATGTTTTTTCGGGTTTTGGTTTTAAACGACTCAAAAGGAAGGGATCGGAAATGGGGGGAGGGAAAAACCCCCCACCCAACACGTGAGAAAAAGGCAAAAACTACAATTCAATGCAGCGGCACTAAACCAAAACACTTTTTTTTTTTTTTTCCTCCTGGGTTGATGAAAACGGGGCTGGTTGTTCTTATTTTTCTTTTAAAGAAAGGAGAGCCAAATAATGCCCAGGGGGATGAGAAACTGTGCAGTCTTCAACAGCTTCAGCGATAACCTGGGAAATATACAATCATGGAATGACCAGCCTTGCTCATTGCTTATCCATTGGGTATGCAACTACACACCTAAAGTGTCCTCCTAATAGGCATACACATCATGATGGCATCTGCCCGCAGGAGAAATACTGAATTCCATTGCAAAAAAAAACTAAGCAGTGCATCTCCTACAAGTTGATGCTGACAAGGCCTGCCAGGAAAAACGGATGACCCATAACACATGTAAAAAAGGCCCAGTAATTAGCTAACGATTAAAATTAATGAAAGTTAAAATTGAATCGCCAATTTGTAAGTCGCTCTGGATAAGAGCGTCTGCTAAATGACGAAAATGTAAATTTAAATCTACGTCAGTCGTTAATTCTTCAAGTCGGCTGTTTTGGCATGTGTTTTGGATAATCTGAATACCCTTTTGAATTTGCAATTACGTTTAGATTTGCTCTGACATTAAGGTTAATCCTTCCTGCATTTCAGTAGTAGCACATATTGCTGTCACGACTTCCTCCGAAGCTACCTCCTCTCCTTGTTCGGCCAGGCTTCGGCGTTCGTCGTCACCGGCCTTCTAGCCACTGCCGCTCCTCATATCTTCATTCCATTTGTTTTGTCTTGTTTATTACACACACCTGGTTCATATCCCCTCATCAGTACCTGTACAAGTGTTCCATCTGGCCCCTGGTCTTTGTGTGTGATTGTTTATTGTAGAGGAGATTATAGCTCGGTGGATCTTGATTCTATTGTGTATCGCTGGGTTATTCACCCGTCTGCCATTATTTCCCCAGTGCGCCGTTTGTCCGCACTGGTGTGTATTACGCATTGCTGCGTAGCTCTGTTTATTGATTAAACAATTTATTCCGTGATTTCCTCTCCTGCGTCTGACGCCGTCCAACATCCCCCGCTACAATTGCAGAATAAATTAATAAAACTCTTTGCAAAACATTCCAGTTAACTATGACTAACATGCTCCCTCTAATGCCTAGAAAGGCATATAGAAGGTCATAGTGCAGAACATTAAAGTATTAGGTAGAATTACTTAAGATTGCTGAAGAGAATTGATTAAATTGTAATATGAGAATGCAAGTAAGCTGAAAGCTGATGTGACATGTAGGTTCAGTCATAATCTAACCATCCAACAGTGGCTTCAACTGTGAACAAGACAGCTGCTTTAAACTGAGCATTTCTTTGTCAGATGGAATGATTTTACAAATAAACATTTTGGAAGCTAAGAGATCAGCCATCTTTGAATTTATAGTATCGTGCACACTGACAATAAAAGTATTGATAATTCTAGCTTTGTTCATGTGCTTTTTTTAGAAATCTGTATTGTATTGTCATAGTAGCATACACTCATACTCAATATTTTCTATGTAATAATGTCACTTAATGAAATTGCGATATTCTATGAATAGCTATAATTAAGCGAACCAGAGCTTGGTCAGCGACCTAGCCACTGACCATTCTTGTCACGATCGTCGTAAGAACCGGACCAAGGCGCAGCGTGATAGGCGTACATCTTTTAATGAGTACTTTAACACCAACAACAAAACGATACATCTAAAGGTTCACCAACACAAACCTATACAGATCAAGATCCCACAATTAACTGTGCCAAACAGGCTGCCTAAGTATGGTTCCCAATCAGAGACAACGAGCAACAGCTGCCTCTGATCGGGAACCACCCTGGCCAACATAGATCTAAACGATCTAGAATAAACACATAGAAACTACAACATAAAAACTAACACCCTGGCTCAACATAAAATAGTCCCCAGAGCCAGGGCGTGACAGTACCCCCCCCCCCCCAAAGGCGCGGACTGCGACCGCGCCAACTAAACCCAACAGTGGAGGGGCCGGGTGGGCATTCCGCCTCGGAGGCGGATCCGGCTCCGGGCGTGACCACCACTCTCTCTCGCCCTCGTGGTCTGGCCCTGCTGGCCGAAGCTGGACTGAACACCGGTGGAGCGGATTGCTCTGGCTCCGGCGTGGAGCAGCTGACCGGTGCCAGACCAGGCACAGGTGGAACAGGCACGGACCGTGCCGGACTGACGACGCGCACCACTGGCTTGGTGTGGGGAGCGGGAATGGGCCGGACCGGGCTGATGATGCGCACCACTGGCTTGGTGCAGGGAGCAGGAACGGGCCGGACCGGGCTGACGACGCGCACCACTGGCTTGGTGCGGGGAGCAGGAACAGGCCGAACCGGGCTGGCGACGCGCACCACTGGCTTGGTGCGGGGAGCAGGAACAGGCCGCACCGGGCTGGTGACACGCACCACAGGCTTGGTGCGAGGGACAGGAACAGGCCGGGCCGGGCTGGCGACGCGCACCACTGGCTTGGTGCGGGGAGCAGGAACAGGCCGGACCGGGCTGGCGACGCGCAACACAGGCTTGGTGCGAGGAGCAGGAACAGACCGGACCGGGCTGGCGACGCGCACCACAGGCTTGGTGCGAGGGGCAGGAACAGGCCGGACCGGGCTGGGAACACACACCACTGGCCTTGTGCGGGGATCAGGAACGGGCCGGACCGGACTGGTAACACACCCCAGTACCTCTCGCCGTGCCTCTACACTCTCCCTCCCCCTCATGACCAATGGCCCCCGTAACCTAGTGGCCTCCTCTCCTAGTCCACAAACTCGCCCTGTAGCTGCCTCCAGCAGCCCCGTCGTCCATGCCGTGTGCCCCCCCAACATTTTTTATTGGGGTTGCCTCTCGCCTGTCCGACGACGGCACGGTTGGTGCTGTACCTCCTCTCTCGTCAGGGCTTTAACTTTTGCCCATGGCCCTTTACCCGCGAACATGTCCTCCCAAGACCACCATTCGCCCTCCTGGGACATCGCCAACTTCTCCAGTTCCTTTCCCGGTGTCTGCTCCTGAACACGCTGCTTGGTCCTTCTTTGGTGGGATCTTCTGTCACGATCGTCATAAGAGGCAGACCAAGGCACAGCGTGATATGCGTACATCTTTTAATGAGTACTTAATACATGAACAACAAAACGATACGTGAAGTCTACAGGTTCACCAACACAAACCTATACAGAACAATATCCCACAAATAACTGTGCAAAACAGGCTGCCTAAGTATGGATCCCAATCAGAGACAACGAGCAACAGCTGCCTCTGATCGGGAACCACCCTGGCCAACATAGATCTAAACGATCTAGAATAAACACATAGAAACTACAACATAAAAACTAACACCCTGGCTCAACATTAAAGAGTCCCCAGAGTCAGGGCGTGACAATTCTTGACCATTTTCCCTATGGATCCCAGGCTAGAGCCAATCCATGTGTGTGTCTATTCTGAATACAATATAGAAATTGTCCAGTATTTTATTCACCTCAATTGAACAAAATACAATTATGTTTCTTTACATGAATATTAGGGAAAATAAATCTCTCTCTCTCTCGCTCTCTCTCTCTCTCTCTCTCTCTCTCTCTCTCTCTCTCTCTCTCTCTCTCTCTCTCTCTCTCTCTCTCTCATACATAGAGTGCATACACACGTTTGTCACCTCATTTCAATTTGGGCTCTGGACTGAATTCATTCTCAGAGCATCAGTGAGACAGGAGACAAACAGGGAGAGAGAGGCAGAGACTATAGAGTTACACAGTATACATTATACACCAGCTGTTATCATTGAGATATGGAGATAGAAGAGGACATTTATGCCAATGTAGAGGAGGTCAGTGTGAAAGGCTGTGATTATCTGGATGCAGGTTATGAGACTTTACACCAGAGTCCACAGGCTGGAACAAGTAAGTGTGTTTACAGATTCTTACACACATCTTAATTTATTTATTAAGTTTACTTTGCAGGACAATGCACAAAAAAAACCATAAGTCTGAGTCACACCAGATTTAGTTAATTGCTACTTTCCATCTGTAGTCCCTGGGCAGGTGAACATCTAATCATGGAAATATTATATACAAAACAGACAAGATAAATACATCAGACATTATAAAAAACAGTGATCAGGACATAGGGACATTTATCAACACAGACGTCAACACATTGCACTGAGAAAGTGGAACACATTGCTGTTGCACAGAAATTGAAATACAGTGGGGAAGAAAAGTATTTAGTCAGCCACCAATTGTGCAAGTTCTCCCACTTAAAAGGATGAGAGAGGCCTGTAATTTTCATCATAGGTACATGTCAACTATGACAGACAAATTTAGGAGAAAAAAAAATCAGAAAATCACATTGTAGGATTTTTAATGAATTTATTTGCAAATTATGGTGGAAAATAAGTATTTGGTCACCTACAAACAAGCAAGATTTCTGGCTCTCACAGACCTGTAACTTCTTCTTTAAGAGGCTCCTCTGTCCTCCACTTGTTACCTGTATTAATGGCACCTGTTTGAACTTGTTATCAGTATAAAAGACACCTGTCCACAATCTCAAACAGTCACACTCCAAACCAGTCCAGACCAAACTGCCCAAACCCACAGGCTGGGAAGACACT